AATTCCTCAATGTGCGTACACCGCAACATGTCCTCCACGAAAAAAATAAAGAAAATTGTGCGTACCCACGTACGTACAGGGCATGTCATCCAGCAGCAAGTGGTTAAAGGTGATTACTGGTACAGTAACTGTAAGGCTTATTCCTTTTGAAGGAGTGGTCTGATTCTGAACCAAATCATGACTCCTGTTTGGAATTATGTACGGTCAATTAAAAAACGGACTCACATACCTAGAACATTGAACAAGTTTACATCTGCGCTTCGTGCTGCTGATGCTTGCATAGTGCACACACCTATCAAGTGAGTGCTGTGCTATAGCAAATGTACACTACATGTACAATTGTCCATGAACTCCCGGGTAGTGAGAAGGTAAAATGCAGAGAAAGAGCGAGAAATTCCCAAGGCCATGGGTCCTTTTTTCAATAGGGTCACAACCCTATCGCTCTCTCTGGCAAGTGGCCCAAATAGCCAAGAACTGACCCCTCACTGGCTGGAACTATTCATGCAGAGTCAAACACACATGTACTTGATGACTCAAAAGTTGGCATTTTATTTTATCCCCTAAACCAAGAATCATTTGCCATCGAGAGAAATACATGTACATGTAAGACACTGACAGCAGTGTGCAACCTTTTATGTTTGGAAGTTTTAGCTTCTTTGTACATGTAAAAAGTACATGTACCTGTAGCATACAGTGTACATACATCCCCTTATCTTTCCTTTGGTGAAACTGCTCACTGAACCATTTCCTTACATACATCTGTACATGCCACATGTACATGTATTTGCGTAGATGTACATGTACACACGACTACATGTACATGTACCTGCTACAATGTACATCATGTACTACGGGACAGAGACATGGGGTTGTGTAACAATACACATGCATAATACACACATATTTGAAACAAACTTTTACAAATTTACATATTACATTATTTGAGTAGGTTTGATCTTCCAGATTAATCTTCCAAACAAAATACTTGTATTTTCACTAAGTTGTAAACCTACATGGTACATGTACACAGAATGTGCACGTTAATTGCTGATTCAAAATTGCACATATGTATGTACCGGCAAATCTAAGTCATTTGTTTTCTGACCTCAGTTCATTAGAATGTTCAGAATGTAATTCTTGTTTCAAAGCGCATCTGACCATATGTTCTCATGCGACCTTGGGCAGTGCAAAATTTCAAGGTGCAGTTGTGTCAAGTAGGGCATTCCAGTTAATTAGAATCACAAAAAGGTAATCGACCACATTCTCCAGATCAATAAAGCTGTCTCTAATTTGACAGTGACACGTTCATTAACCACCTGACGTGTATGCCATGATGCATATCAACACTCTCTGTCACTGGAGAGGACAAAAATAAAGAAATTTCACTGCATCAACTTACATCTTCAGGCCTCATGTAATCTTGTGAGTGATTTGGTTCCTCATTTAACTAACTGATAAAAATACTACTTTGTAAATGAAATGTCACCTGCCTGGCACCCTTTCATTTTCACTAGTCAACATAGAGTTCCACATGTACTTTAAACCAGTTACATGTATTAAGACTAGATGGGCAGCTGTAGTACAGTTGACTTTATTTTCATTACATTTAATTCATTTCATTACAGACATTAGTGTGGAGTAGTGAACATAAATGGAGAGTTTGCACACTAGTATGCATGCATACATGTACTCATACACTGTGCTATAAACCAAAACAAATCCAAATACACACTTTTACACAATTATTCCTAACAGTACTGCACATGTGTTTTAAAAGCCAAGAAAGATAAGGATTCAATTTAACATTGAAATGTGGAACTTGAATTTCACACTTGCAAGTACATGTACGAACATAAGTGTACATGTACATGTGTACATGTATGTAACTAAGCAACGAGTACTCCTCCTTCACATACACGTGTTTGTATATGTACACTGTACATGGTACATGCTGTATACACTACTTTGGCTTGCTTTTACTATTAAACAGGTACACAAATCAAAATGGTTGGCCACAGCATTTCATTTTGTCAACCTGTCCTATGTACCATGCACACAGTCCAGAACTCCTAGACCATAACTGAAATCCCCTTGGGTGATGATACAACCAATGATTGTGATTTGACAGTTCAGAGCTGTTCAAAGGCCGGAGAACAGGTTGATGAACAAAAAGGCTTTTCTGGTGGAGAGAACTCGTCCAGCTCTTTGCAAACTCCATGGGGAAACCTTCCTGTGCCCTTTGTATTAAATACCGTACATGTACATGTAGCGATACCCTCCCAAATTTTTAGAGCCCCATTTATGCAGTGCTCATTTGAGTTTTGAGTGAACATTTTTGGTCATATTCTGCTACTGTACTGATATTGCACAATGAATAAACTACTGGCAATATACCATAACTATGCTAAGTGTCTTGCAGTGGATCTCGCAGTTTTTGTGTTGGAATCTGCTGGTCTTTATGTGAAAAACATTTCTTTTAAATGTTAAATATACTTAGTACGGTACATGTGGCTGGTACACAATTAGATACAGTGTACAATGTACCAGTATGGTATCAAGTGTACATGTACAAGCACCGGCAGCTGCACCAGTATGCTACTAGTACCTGTAGAAAACACAAATACATTTACATGTATCAGTATATGGCAAAGTATATGTACGGTATGTACCCGAGAAAAAGACCAGGCTCACGGATAATCATGTTAAATCTTCAAGCAAACGTAAACCCTTGATCCTGATTTGTCTTTCTATGGCCACCCTATGATCTATCTTATCTGCCTTACATTTATATCATGGTCCATGACTTTGCCTTCATCACTTATTAATGTGCTATACCATAGGTAAGCATGTTCAATCATGTTCAATTTGTGTGGTGTCAAGGTTTTAATCAACATACCATTTTAAAAAGAAATGAAGACAAGTATTGAGAAAATACATGTACAGAGTACAAACAACTAGCAAACTGCAAGAGAATCGACACAACACATGGTACATGTATGTGCAGTACATGTACCTCGTATATGTACACCACAAACTCTTGGGGACTTTACAAAGTAAAGTTTTTGAGGTAATTAAAAAGAATTAACCAAGGTGCATGTATACAGTTACCTCCAGATAGGCCTACATTACAAATATAACATTTGAATATGTGTTGAGAATTCCTTCTAGAAAAAGGGGTAACATATGAAACTTACATACACTGTAACATCCTTGCTAAGTGCACAATTATTTCAAAAAAACATTTAACAGAAACAACAGATTTATGAAACTTCACACCCTCATTCTGAAAATGAGCATTCCTAGGGAAGGCAACTGCACTGCTGTCTGAATGAACATGCACTTTGCACAAGAGAAAGTCTGCAAATTCTCAAGGATTACCAGCTCACCCAAAAATAACACCACACAATCATGACAATGCCAGGAGGTATTATGCAATGACCCCGAAGTAAAATCCTGGACATAACAGGGCAGTTTCTGAGGCACCTAAGGGCATGAATCAATTGCCAGACCTCCTGCAAAATGTTTACAATCCCCCATGAGAAAAAATCATAATGGTTCACTAATCAGTGAGATTAATCTCACACACTAGTTGCCAATAATAAGTCTAAAGAGGAAAATAAATAGGGGTGAAATATTGCTTCTATACCGTGCAAAGGTAGGTGTGCATTATAAGACCGCTGACTGAAAATTGGTAATGCTTCAGCTGGCCACGCAATAGCATCCACATGTACTGTACATACGTAGGTAAATGTATTTGCCTACACAACACTTGAGAATTTTATTCATGTCAGTTCCCAGTACTGACACATACTGGTTCTTTCACACAACTAACAAAAGACTATCAATCCGTTTGGTGAACATGTGTTGGACAGTGTAACATGTAACAAGTAACAAGGAGTGCAGGTAGGTGTGTTCTGAGCATTTCAGTAGTCGAGATAAAGTCATAAAACAAAACAAACCACAAGCAGAAATGTTTCATTTACAAACGGGAAGGATTTTTTTCCCCTGAAATATACTGTTCACAGAGTATTAACACGAGTCTGTATCATAAATGTAACTTCTGTAGACAAAAAAAGATGTGTCCATGTGAAATAATGTGTAATCTTCCTTAGTTGCTACCACCTAATACATATTTTTAATCCTATGGCATTTTGCCAGAAACCGGAGTTCTTAATCCTCCCAAATCCAACATTGATTGGAGTAGTAGTACAGTTTTGTTTTGTGCCTGTGTGCTTGTTAATTCCATAGTTTTCTGTATTTTTCACTGTGCTCTGTAATAAAGATGTTACATTCTATTTATAATTAAGAGGATATCGGTATGAAACTGGCTGAGATTATGAATATGAACAACACCAATAATTTCAAGTCACATGTAGCCCACTTGAAAATAATTTCATAAAACTCAGCAATTATCCCTTTCAGGGAGATGGTCATTATAAAGTTTTAAGTGAACACCACCACTGGATAGACTAGTACATGTCTTATATAGCCAAACATTTAACTGTTACTGTAAACAGTGATGTGCATGTGGCAAAAATGAAGTACCGATACCGTACTTGGGTCAATTAAGCCCCACTTCATCTTACAACAAATGTTTGGAATACAAAAACCTGGGATGCCTCTATTCGTTTGGGTAAGAGTTCCACATACGGACATATCACTAATTTTCTTCTACAGTAGTTTATCAGCCATCATAGAGTCATAACATTTCCTAAAATGTCATATTTAGAACTGAAAATGTTGAACCATTCAAGCCTAGGCCCATGTACTTATAAAACACAATTTTTCAGACCAGCCCCAGTTTGAGTGATGTCCAGATGTCAAGTGATGTCCAGATAAAGAACTCTTTCCCTTGTTTGTTTCAATCAGTTAAATGTCTTAAAACTTGTGTGACCTGGGCAGTCTTGGGCCTCAGCTGCTTACATAACATCCACAACAAATTTCCAGTGTTTTGAATCATTCTTTACGCGAAGCGAAAGAAATTAATGTTTATTTCTTACCGTTTCTCTTAGTTGAAGGACAGTCTCTCTCATAATAGGAATGTCCCATGTAAAAGTAAGCTAAAGCTTGAGCCAAGGATTGGTCAAAAGTCATTGACACTTCCTCTAAGGACCTTAGTAAGGTAGAGTCCACGGAGCAGCCGATTGTCATGCACTGTCATGTCGTTTCCCTCGGCCAAATAACACGGGAAGAATTCCATATACGAAGGGAAAAAAAGAACGGCAAAAGGACTCACTTTTTTGCCGTTTTATTGCGTGGGGCCCCTTCTTTTTAAATCTGTCCCCCTAAGTTACTGAACCCCCTTTCACATCTCTATCCCCCAAAAATAAATGTCGCCCCTTTTTAAATCTGTCCTGGAGCAAAAATTTCTCCTAAAAAGTGAACTTCGTATATGGAATTCTTTCCATTATCACTGCTCCGTGCATACAGACATGACGGATAGGTTTTCCTGATCGTGTGATCCTAAAACTAGTCGTGCCAAGAATACCATACCGATGACATACAATGGGCCGTGCCGCGTAAAGCGTACGCTCCTTCAGTTTACATGTACAGTGTACGTAGCCTACGTCACCCTCCCAAACAATTTTGCATCCAGTCTCCCTCCAAAACAAAAATCAAACAGATACATTCAAAGCCTCGTGCACCAAAATATACGGCCAAAGGTACCACTATAATGTGAACTCAAAAAAATACTTGCGATCAAACACTTTGGACTGAAACTCACCGTTTCGTTTCTGGGTGTACATGATCATCATTACGCTGACGCCATGATACCACAACGCAAATTAAAGGTAAATCGCCATCTACCGTTAGCTTATGCAAATAATAGTTCAAAAGGACTGTTCGTTTTTAAGCATGGGGTATTTTGTGTTTAATTTGTATGGTGGAATTTAATTTGCGTGTTTATGATAGAAACAATCACATGCGTAGTTCACTAATTATTTTTGGTGTTTTATCGTGGCTTCACGGTCCGATGACTGTCACTTAAACACTGGACTATTGTTTCCCCCTGTCTATCCGTCACCTATGCGTTCACCCTTTACCCTGTTGTTTAAATGGAACATCCCCACCTGTGACAAACAGCATTCCTCTTGTTCTTCGTGACCACTGGAGCATACGCGGGTTCTTTTGTGCTCGGAGAATACGTACATACGAGCATAAATTTTGTCATGAAAGTGCGGGGAGATCGAACTGAATTTTTTTGGACGATGTGCATGAAACGCAGGAGACGCGACTTGCAGTAATATGATTGTAGACTTTTTTAAATATAAAGTTATCGTAACTAACAAAGATGGATTTTTCCCGATGGGGGCGTGTACATTACAATATGCAAGTAGGTTACAAGTGAAGCGTGATTAATTTGATAGGCATGAAGGTTGTGTTATGATTAACTATGACGATTTATTACCACAATGGGAAGTTGGCACGTAGGTGTATACATGCATCAAATAAACAAAAAAGTAAAAATTTGTAAAATAATTCATATTACAGGCTAGGCGTATTATTGGATTATTAAAATATAATCAATATTTGCAAAATACGTTGCTGTAAATCACCATAAGCATGTAGAACAATACATGTGTATGATGTTATTGCGTAAAACGTCCTTTAATATCACTTTTTTAAAGCACATAATCTTCTCAACAATCATTTTTATGAAAGCTCAAAGCAGGTTCTGAACTTGTTTTTCGCAGTGACAATGAAAGACTGACTGGAATGCCCTCTGAAGCGTTCGTTCAAAATAGGATTACCATCTTGTTTAATGCCTACACGAGACCTTTACAGTGTAGTAATCAAAAGCAGGCAAAACTCAAGACAAGTTTGCAAAAGGTACTTGGCCAGAAGACGATGGTCATCCCACGTTAGTTAACTCCCCCCCCCCATTCCCAACTTTTTCTGTGAGCATATACATGTATTACGTGGACAGTTTTCGAAATAACTGATATAATCAAACGAAACGTTTTTATAAGTTCCAGAAATTTACCAAATATTTGACAAACACAGTGTATTCCTATTCCGCTATTCGTAGCATTGCCAATTTCAGCTCGGTATCGGCCCCTCTGTAGCGGGCCGGTCCTGCACCCCTCGGTTGTTTTCGCAGTGTGTACAAAGACTCGTCGGTTGGTGACAAACTGACATGGAACAACTCAAGGACACCGTGAATCAATTATATGTTGTCGGAAATAATTTGTTGAAAGACTTCCTGGTACAATCGTCGGGCTCGTTACGAATGCCAATCAATTATTTTCCTGTTACTGAGTTCCATCTTATAGGAAAGGTAACCATGGAGTACAGATTTTTCAGAGATAAACAAACTGTTTCCTTTGTTTATTTTGCAAATAAATTAGGAACAGACAAAGGAAAAAATCTTTGTCTTTTTTTCATTTGAAAATGAAAAGATGAAAAAGTTGTTTTTCATTTTCAAAACGTACATGGAAGAAGTGATTTTTCGTTTTTAGTGGAAAACAAATAAATGTGGAAATGTCGCTACACTTTTTGAAAAATGAAAATTATTTCAATTTTGCATTTGGAACTGAAACGGATTCATCTTTATAGCCCACTAACTTAATAAAAAATAATTATTGCTGAAATAGAGGGTTACGAACATGGGCGTCAATCCTGGGGGTGGGGAGTATAGGTCCTCCCACTTTCTGAGGTGGGGGATGGGCTATTAATGCATCCACTTTCACGTGATGAGAAAAAAAATAAATGCAGATTTTGAAGAATTTTCAGAATTTCCAAACCACTAATGGTTGCAATATCACTAACAAGGGAAAGCAATTTTTAAAAGCCATAAATATACCATTCTGATGTAAGATTCTGCATTATTGTAACCCGTTACTTATGTACATCTTTATCATGAACATCACCCCCTATATAATGTATATGGGTTACAATTCTGTAATTTATAATTTTCTTAGTATATTGTACTTTTTTGTATATTGATTTTAACAAAACTTTCATTAACCTGATTGGTCAAAACCCAGCGGACGTATGCATAAGGCACCTAAAGGTAGAAGGGACATCCTACTCCTAGACATGACGCGGATTCGGATTAAAATAAAAAACAATTTATCGTCCGCAACATGACGTTTATCATCTTTTTCGTTTATAAATTGATAAAAGGAAAATAAAGTTTTTTTTCGATTGTTTTCTTTTTCAAATTGGAAAAAACGACTTTTTTTCAATTATCAAGTTTTCGTCTTCAAATCAAGAAGTGAATGAACGAAACGTAAACGGACCGGGAACCACGTAACAGTCACGTAGTCGCAAAGTTCATTTGTAGAGGGCGCTGGTCTACCCCAAAAGTGCGACGAGTACGCCGATACAGTCGCTTGCTACGTTATTTTACTGCAGCTTCGGCATTCTACGTCCAAAATAATACACTATTTACATGTTTTGAGCAACAGTACATTCTGTGTCGAGTTCCACTGACTGATTCTCAATATCCAAGCAACACTATTTTTGACATTTCTTACAGTATTTCCGCCAAATAAAGCAGTGTAAACTCAAGGTAGTGTAAAATACTTTATTAGGAAGTGATCAACACAAACACAAATCACGATATGCAAAAATACTGTATAGAAAACATACAACGTTGCTCCCAATATGAAGATAAAAATTGCTGATCGTTCGACATCTTGAGAGCTGTAAATGCTTGAAAAGTGACCAATGGAATGTTAACATATCAAGTATACACCTGTTTTCAAAGCTTAAAAGCTACCAAATTCAACCTGCAGCTTTGTACAGTCCTATTCTTTCACCGAGTTTCCCAGGGTACATTTTCCATAAAAAATAATGTGATAAGAATTTCTTCCAGGCTACAGTTGAAATGGCATGCCCCCAAAGAAATCTCAACAGGAAAAAGACAAATGTTTAAACTTGATTTGACATGATTATGTGAGGGAATGAAGTACATTTTCCACAAAATAACATTAAAAGTGTCACTGACAAATGATTTTTTTCTCAAACTAACATCTGCAATCTCTTCTGGAAGCAAATCGTAATTCAGAGACTTACAGTAAATTCTTTAATTAACACGGGTTTCTTTAAATTGGAGCAAATATCCTCCTATGTAACACTTTAAAATGTGGCAATTATAATAAAAGTTTCAATTTAATACTTAAGAAAGGTGTCAAAAGAGCAAATCCGAATGAGGCATAAAGTACTCTGGTTCAGTGGTGTAGCTAGGATTTTATTGCGGGCACAGGGGGCGCCAGCACCTTATGGGGGGGCATCAGCTTTCAGTAGTGTGTTTTTTTTGAGGGGGGGGCAAGCTTATGTTAGCCTAGTTCAATATCCATTCATTGGTTTCTTGAGTGGGGGGCACCAGGAATTTATTGGGGGGGGGCACATACCCCCATAATATACATTAAATGTGACAAACATGTCAAAATTGCATGAAAGCAGGAAGTAACATCTTGGAGGGGTAAAACAATTTCCAAACTACTGATGAAAAGTCAAACACAAAATTCAAAAGATACTTCTCAAATTTACACTTGGAACTTGACATTTAGAGGAGAAACTGCGACAAATTTTGAGGCTATGAACTGCAACAAAATTTTAAACATTTCCATTTTAAAACCTCACAAAAAAAATCGCACTTACTGATTAAATGGCCATTTCATACAACTCGTATGTGGTTACCCTGTGTAACTATATTTGTAGATGGCGTTTGACACCATCTGATAAATACAACACAATGAAGGTGTGACACAAACGAGGTGATATGTACAAATTGAAAAATCAAGGAGAAACAAACGTTGAATTTCACCAATTAATCTTCCATCAATTAACACAAATTTTAAAGGACAATTTAAGTACGCGAAAACCCTTATAAAAGTTTCGACATAACTCAAAAATGCCATGAAACAAAACATTTTTTTCCAGAAAAGAAACTGGAATTCAACTCCACATGTACTTACAAAAGAAGCATGAGAACCATTGTTACTGATAAGAATGTACACATGTAATTTGCAAATGAATGATCACGGTACCAAAAATTTTGATACCTCAAAGCATGTGACATTCAAATAAGAAAAACTGGTCTAGTGAAAAAAACAACGAAAATACACAATTTGAAAAAGATACGTCGAGTGACTTTGGGCAGTATTCTAGTTTAACAAGTTGACTGCTAACTATGAGACTATTTGTATGGTCATACCAGAATTTGCACTAATGTGTATATTTGTGGTAAAATGGGCTTTGAATTGTAGTAAGAATGCAATGGCAATACTGTAAGCCTTAGAAATTAATTGTTGGCAGATTGTAGACCAGTATTGGTCAAGATTGTGTTGAATTTCTCACAGAGTGTTTTACTGTCAAATAACACGGGAAATATGCAAAGGTGAAAATTTAATTTCTCCATCAGATGTGTTTTACTTTTCAAGTAGTATTGAGGAAAAAAATCACACAATAAATTATGATTATTGGAAAAATGTGTACCACTGCCAAGGCGTGTGTTGTCACTGGCAGTCAACATGTTAAAGCAAACCCTTCATGTAAGACTGACAAGTACATCCAGATGTTGCATAGAGCTTATAACTCTCGATTATCTGTGCATAGTTTTTCAAAAAATCGTTCACCATTAGAAAAGAGTACAAAAAAAGTGGAAACTTTTAACCGGTGAACAAAAAGAAACAGTGACATGAACTTCAGCCAGCAAGCCACAGTCTCATATCTACTCATCTGACTGCATGTCTGTGTTTGAATCTGAAAAACAAGAAGTTTACGCAAGTGTGCAGTCGTCATGCAGAAAAACTGAAATTTTTATACAGTTGGTCAATTTGGGAGGAGTTATCAGCGGCTAGTTCACACTAGAGGTGCAAGTATGGAGCATACACACATGCGCAGATGGATAAGGGTAAATGAATCTCTGTGACTGTAGAAAACGGGTATGGAAACCACTCTTTTGAAATTGACTTCAGCCTTGGAAGAAAACTATGCACTGACCGCCCCAACTACAAACCTGTAAAACAGTGGAAACAGTACCGATTTCCAGAGTTTGGGAAAATTGCTTTGAAAAAGATTAAAGACTACCTATTGCATGTAAAAAATTATGAAACACTGCTGTTAGGCCCCACCCACATTGCGTGTACAAGTACCAAGCTACTTAGCCAGCGATATCATGTGCGTTTATGCCACTGCTCATAGATGTGTATTACCTCTGCAGGCTACTGTCAAATAATTCACAGGCAGCCTTGTCGACTGATACACAACATCAGTTTCTGCCACGAACTCCAGCATATGCACAGGTGCACTATTCTCACATGGACATGCTTCAGCTTTGTGCACATTCAGTTAAAAATTGGATAAGTGCAGTTTGCATCATTTGTACTGATATGGCTAATGGAAAACTGTCAACAAATTCTCTTTATTATTAAACAAAAAAGTATTTAACCTTGGCCAAATTGTGTGGTGTCTGAGCAACCCGATGATGTGGTCACTGATCTTGGACCTTATGTACGGCTGATGAAGACATGGCCATGAGAGAAAGCGCAACGCATCGCACCCTTCAACTTATTGCACGTACTGTAGAGAAAATTAAGGTTATCGCACAATTTACTCCTGAACATGGGGTGATCAGTCAGTGAAAATGTCTGCACATTTGTCTGGATGTTGTCTTCAGTTGCTATGTGTTACCATGCAGCACTCTGAACTCAAAGAACCATTCAGTTTCAAGATGATAGTTATGGGAAATAGATACAAAAATGTTAGAATTTCTCTGAATATTGTTTTTTAACTATATGTATATGACAGCAACTTTGAGGTAAATTGGAATATATTGATGAAATACCTACATGTACAGTTGAATCAAATCATGGCTGGCCTCAACCACACTACGTAAGAATATTCAAGGCACTTTTGTATGAAGGATTAAAAAAAAGTTTCCATGCTTTTAATCAATGGGGCCTGTCCAATATTGAATAATGTATCTACAGTCACCCTGAAGAGTTGTAGACAGCATAGTAATGCAGTGTTACAAAGGACATGTAAGCATGCACTGTCTTGGAAGGTGCAGCTTATGTGGCTCAAGAGCACATAATGTACAGTCATTATTATACTTAAGAAAAAAACAGGGGGGCTCGCTGATGTCCAGTGAGGTGCTTTCAGGATGTACCTGAATGTGAAACAAAGCAGTTGTTTGCAGCCTTGGTGAAATTCTGAAAAGTTTTGGAATCCTCTCCCTGCTAAAATAGTACTTCCATTTCCAGAATTTTTTTCAGATGTTACTCGAAAGTAGTTTTAGAATAAGTCCGGTTTTTTCTCTTACAGAGTCTTTGAATGGACACGCTGGTGCTTTACCAGGTAGGAGTTGCGCGTAAAGGCCATCCCGCAGATGTTGCATGGAAACGGTAGGACGTCCATGTGTGTCTCCTCATGGCATCTGAGGTTGTACTCAGTCTTGAACATGCGGGGGCAGTACTGGCAGCCAAAGGGCTTGTCGGTGTTGTGCACTTTCATGTGCTGCCTGAGGTATACGGCTGCGCTGAACGTTTTGCCGCACTCATTACAGCTGAAGGGCTTGTGGGACTGCTGGTGCTGCAGGTAGGGCTTCTCGGTCGAGAAGGTTTCACCACAATCCGAGCACGAATACTTAGGATTGTCGATGGATACCTCAGTGTGCCGTTGCTGGTGCCGTTTGAGATTCCAGAGAAACGTGAAAACCCGCCCGCACTCATAACATACATACTCTCCTCTGCCACTTTTCTTTTTCCTGGCTGGGGGCTTCTTGGCACCACCCCCTTTGGGCGGGTTGCTTGCTTTTCCTGTTTTCTGGCTGAGAAGTGTGGTCAGGGCCTTCTTTTTTATTTTGGCGGACACTTGGAGATTGGAGGCATTTTTTTGGTGTGCAATGGCCTTGGTTCTGGTCTGTCTTTGGCCTAGTGTTTGACAAGACAAATCAGTGCAATTCCAAGATGCAATATCAAAATTAGTCATATCTGTTCATCCAACAGCGTATTTAGCGTCAATTACAGGATGAAGTCACAAGAAGACAATGAATAAACGTTCAGTTTTAAAGGTGGGAGGAAAACCAGCATAAATATTCCAGGGAAACCCACAGAATCAGGCAGGGGCTGAAAACCCAGTGCTAGACTAAGTGGGATTTGAACTCGACCCGCAGAGGTGGAAGGTGAGGAAAGAATCACTACACCAACCTGACTCTCCTACATGACATATGAAATACTCTGAAAAGTGGGAATACTTTTGAAAAAGTTCAGCTCAAGACTTGAAAATTCAGGACAATGCAGAGAAATGACTGGAGTGGTACCACAGACCATTATGACAGGTTAAATGAGTGCTGAGTTTGCAAAATACCGAGGACCACTGCCATGGATGTAACGTGCACATGCTCACACATCTGTACTGAACAAATCTGCAGATGCTGTACAAATACATGTATGTAGTGTGTTGGCTGCACCAAACTCTGTGATATGCCTGCATGTGAACCAGCTGGCGCTTATTGGATGCTTTTTTTTTTACAGGGCCTCATGAGAGTAGCCACGCGTACAGCATCTTCCAAGCTTTCACACAGCATCCATAAAGCAGGCTTTGAGGCCAGGCCTTGGTCAATGCCTTGTTTGGTTGGGGATCACTATGCACTCTCCTCTCTATGGCAGTCCCTTGAATTCACTTCTTGGCAACTTCCCAGGAGTCATGGGTTGAAATTGAAACCTAGGTTGATATTGTTGAGGCAAGTTTGCTTCTTCCTCTTTCTTGACTTTAGCTAATCAGCCCTCTAAATAACGCGGCAGGTAGTTGATTAAAACCCACCATGTCTATACTCTCCAAATATCCAGCCCCTGGTTTTGCCATACCCAAATGGATTCAGCCAACAATTTCTTAACACGGGACTTATGGGTCGGTATTTTGCCAAATCTGGGAGATTTTAGAGGTTAGAATTGCTTCCTGGCCAAAAAATTCCCGGAATGGTATCTTTTCGACCCTGACAACCCTTAATTCTCCAACTGGTGAATAACTGAGGATTGTAAAGGGACTAAGGGTTAATTAGTCAGGCTGGCGTAGAGGTTCTTTCCTTGCCTGCTACTTCTGCAGTCCAGATTCAAATCTCGGCTCGGTCTACATGTGAGTTACATTTCACTCCCTACCTAATTCCATGGGTTTTACCCAAAATACTCCTTTGGGGTTTTCCACCAACCTCTAATTCTGTAACTGCTTCTCCCTGTTTCCTTGCTACATGTTCTTCAGGCTTGCGAGCTACAGTGCCTAGGGCACTTTTGAGGAATCCTTAGTGTCATTACCAGAAATGATTAATAATAATTATTCTAACATAAACCACCCCAGTAAGTTTCTCAGATTGCTTATTTGATGTCCCACATTCAAAAGGCTGCATTCCAAGTAATCCCTTTTTTGCAGGTCTGCAAGATTGTTGCTTGTGTCTTGACTTCATGATTCCTGGCAGTGGTGTAGCTAGATTTCACTGGGGGAGGGCACAAGGGGGCACCTGCATCTTATGGGGAGGGACCAGCTCTCAGTGTATGGCTTTTTTGGGGCAAGTTTTTGTTAGCCTTGTCAAATACTCATTCATCTTGTTTTTTTTTGGGGGGGGGACCCACGGGGAATTTGTGGGGGAGGGAGGGCATGTCTCCCCCAGCTACGCCACTGATTCCTGGCTACACGGTCTATGGGTTTCTAGATTCAGACTAATATCCTTGAACTAAAATGTTACGAAAAGGCAGAAACCACCTACACAGGGCTGATTAGTCCCTCTGTTGGTAAAGCGCTTGCGTGAGTGGGGGAGGGAAGGGTCACACGTTCAAATCCCACTTGAGTCATTAACTTCGATCATCTTTATAACTATCATGAGAGCATCAAATCAGTTTGCCCATTCTGTTTATTTGAGGAAGTTAGTCTCCTGACGGATCTAGTTCTTTTCAAAATACACATGTACCTTTTCTTGATGAAGAACCTCTTGCTTGTCTTTTCCGGTTGGTTGGCGGCCAGCGACAGACTGCCACACCAGCAGTCCTTGCACAACCGTAACAGTAACTCGGCTTGTATGGCTCTTCGCTGTCAAGGTCGCTGCCTCCACTGTTGGCAAGAAGCCATTCCCTCTGCAGTCTCTCAATAGTTGCCTCCACATCTTCAAATTCGTCCATCATCTCTTAAAACCCACAAGAGCTTACCGTCAATTCCTAAATGAATTTTAAAAAAACCCTGATCAAAATGACTCAAGATGGGGGTGGAAGAGTAAATGGGTGAGTTTTGAGCATGGAAGTACAAGTACATGCACAAATTTAAGGCAGCACCTTGGACAGTGGTGTGTATCTGTGCACACAAATGCAATGGATGGGGATGACCAAAATTGTCGCCCTGGAAAGGGAGAGGAACATTCTCAGGAGGTTGGAAAAATTGAAAGTTATTTCAAAATCTGCATTTTAGGCTTCTGACCACCATAACATGCAGGAATGATCAAAGGACCCCTCGCTTCCCCTTTCCAAAGAAAAACATTTACACAAAACTGTACACATCATAACCTCTCCCCTCTGTAAAAGCAATCCCTGCATTCACACCCAGAGCTTGTGTACTGGTGCACTACCTAGGGTGGTCAAAGTTAATCTGGTAATCGAATGTAATAACAGTGGCATTGGTACTGCCAGCTTGCTCTGTGGTGTTACAATCATCAGGCCAGACATCCCATCATGCTGCATCCGAGGTTCATTTGGGGGGTCACAACCATGGCTATATGGGTTAATAAAACAGGCAGCTGCAGTGTGGCCTGACCTTTGATGAGGACTTTGGAGACTTTGGGTCAAGGGAGAACAGTAAATGAGGGGAGCACTTCTAACGGCCACTGTGGCAGAAACAGTGCTAAGAGGTTCAGGGCCTATTTCTGGCACCTAGCTGCCATGAGAAGCAAAACCCGAGAACAGCAATTTCAATCAAGAATCTGAAAAAAAAATGTAAATTCTAGACCCTGTCCCAGTGGTCCAACAATGACAGCATGAAGGACAAAATGGAATCCAAACAGATAATTGGTCATGATGAATTGAATCCACCTGCTGGACCTTCCTTCAACCAAGTGACTCTATGCACACACACACATGGGTAAACCACCTAATCCTGACATGCACCACAGCACCACCCGGTCACTGCACTGACCTGAGATGAATTAAAGTCTGTCGACTTGGCAAAGTCTATGACATGACAAAGGGTCTAAATGAACTAATTCACTCCCCATGATGAACTACACATATGGATGTCTGTGTTGAGACCGTGCATTCCCAAGGAGCGAACAGGCAACTTTCATTACGGAACCTCTTCCATGTTCTGCAATCCACTTAATGCTCAAACACTGAGACCAGGCCTCACCTCACACATGAGATTATTCAGGTCAATGATGAAACACTTGACACAGTATCGCGCATGCTTATGATGTGAACCACTGCAGAACACAGCATGTACATGTACTTGGGATCCACTGCATGCTACACAGTACACACAGCCAATGTCTGGGTCAGACAGTTGGTCATTAGCCATAATATGCAATGGGGTAATGACCACCTCAGAATTGCAAGGAAAAGAAACTCATGCTGCATCTAAATCTGTTGTCTAGATCTAGGTTTAGGTCTTCACTCCGTTGGAAATACACGGAGATGCAAAGACAGTAGACCTTGCCGTAGCTCCGGAAGCCCATTTCGGACATGGCTTCAGATGGTCCTATCACATCACCCCAGCCAAGAGATCACTGGCAATACAGTACATTGCTTTCTGATACAAAAGACAAACTAAATTTGAAAGGAGAATTAACCTTTCATAGCTACAGATGCACTGTCAGACAAAGTAAGATTTACTGTAATGCCCATGGAGTCAGAACAAAAAGAGGGCCACGTGACTCTGAGTCAACCCTCATGTAATAAAAGAAAACCACAGGCCCTGTCCCTGATGCAGTTGATTAATTCAGGGAGTTGATGATCCTCAGCTCGGCATCATCTCTTTGAAGTTTACTTCTGGATAGTCGTTTTCTGTTCATTCTCTAATGCACTATGGATAGGGCTGTGGGAAGTGGGGATGTCCAAGGCAAATCTGGATAGACAACATTGAAGAATGGACAGGATAGGAGACATAGTGTCTCATGGGACTTGCAGAAAATCGAGCTGGCTAGAACCACTTGTCACCTTAATGGTTGTTTGGCTGTAGAGTTTTATGAGAATGACAATGATGAACCACTTCAACATGGTACATGTGCTACACAGAGTACACTGATTTGACGAGGTGTTTCAAATAACATTAAGACTCAGTCAAGAGAACCAACAAGGTAACATAAAGACTCCGTCAAGAGGACCAACAAGGTAATATTGTGATTTTATTTATCAGGTGCCATTGTTTCCACATGGGCTCAGGAACGAATGACCCCAAATTGAACACAATCCCACACATGGCTATCAACATGTTCTATCTACTGCAGCATATCCTCATTTGAATGGAAAAGAATGCTTGGCCACAAATGAAACATGTACATATGGATATGCACATGTACATATATGATGTACATGTAGATGAAATGCAACAAGAAAACCTTACTCTAACTTGTGAGAGAGCTGACTGTGGATCTACATGGGAATAAATTCTTTCTGGTCACTCAGAAACTCTAGTTCCATGCAGTGAAACCAGATGGCAGTAAGTGACGAGTTGATTACAGAGAGGGTTAGGTATGCTGGCTGCTTCCACTACACAGGCTTTAAATGTTACCATCAACGAGAGAGGACTGCCACAAAGCCATCAAAGTGGCGAAGGGTGACCACTCAGCATGGTTGCACATCACAATGCAATCCCTGCTAACCCACCTCTACCTGTAATTTAGAGGTAAACTGATAGTACTCCATGGTATACTCTAGGTAAAGTTGACATAACCTCCAATGAATCCACCATAGACACGATTGCCAGTCATGACAGTGACAATCACGCCCTCTGCAGCGGTGATCAACAATAAACCATCACACAGGATTCATTGATAATGACGCTGAACTCAGGGAATCAGAACTACGAGATATCAGGTTTATCAACTACCCCTGAATGTTATATTCATTGATACACCTGATTCTTGGAGTTTCATATTTGCTGTAGTGTGCTGCTTCTGGATCCCATATACATGTAGCTGCCTACTGTCCAGGAAGCAGTGACCTGATGCTCTTGAAACTGACAAAATTGGATTGCTGAACATTTTCAGCCTGCTCCGTTGGCTTTCGTATTCATATGAGAGGAATTAAGCCCATGGATGCCGACATGGGATCAAGTGGTCACTGGTCATATGTGACCAGCTGATGACATCAAGCTGACAAGAATGGCCTGAACAGTGTTGCTGGCATTAGCCTAGAGTTCTTCTCATCATGAGCTTAAAACCAGGCAGAAACCTCAATATGTACATCGTGCAATCAATGCAGCAAATATGTCTCAAGCTGAAGCACCCCCAATCAGTTGAAAAGAGCTGCGCTGGTTGGGAGTATTCATTTTGTTGATAGTGATGTGACTGCACTGCTTGCGTTTCCTAATTGTTTGTGAACCAGCAGTGTGCAGTTAACGCTAAAGGAGCCTCTACTGCTAAGGAAATAGCGCCCTCTCTTGGTCTAGCTCGAGGCCCATAATATGTGCAAATGACGATCACCACACATCACTCCAGGTCTATGGAGACCCAATCTAAGTGGCTGGCTTCAGCCTTCAGGGTCTACAACAATGGGCTCCAGTTTATCTCAACTTCAGAAGGAAAGACATCTTAGCAATCTTTCTTGAAGGTGTTGGAAACTGCACAAAACCCATAAAGTTCCCAGTTCTCTAAAACACAAAGCATAACCTTAGCAAATCAGATTCCTTAGCCACTGTCCTTGTTTTCTCAACGGGATACCAGCAAAGACTGTCCCTCTGAGCTCTGAAACCTAGAAACACTGGATCTCAATGCTGGAGTCATTCATAAGCACATGATGCAATAAATTTTTCACTCATAAAGACTCGCATTAAGCCTATCCATTTTCGACAATGCACAGTACATGTATATATAACACTTGACAAATGAAAACTGCTGGAGATGACATAAAACTGCATCAGCTGTGACATTCACTGTTTGACAGCCACTGCTTCAAATATTCGATCTCTTTAATGAATTATTGGCAACACTATTACAGAATTAAACAAGTGTGTCACATGTTTCTGTTCAGTTTTACACAAGAAGAAACTTTGATAACACCCTCTTACACAAGACAATTAAGTTCCAGCCTCTACCTTTAGTTGGGGTTTATTGCTCACAGACAAGCAATTTTTTTTTTTAAAAAGTTACACGCACAAATTTAACAAAATTAATCCATTATCCAGACTAAACTTGAAGTACTTTATTAAGCCCAGGACTACATTAAACCGAGGACTCAAGAAATTGTCCAACTTATAGCAGTCTTGCACATTTTGCACAATTTCTTTGCATACCAAATTGGGCATCCTTCGCCAATCACGAAAGCTGTTCTGAGTCTATGTTTTATAGCTCTATGGTGCACTCCGTCACGTTCAGAAATGCACACAGGATGTCATAGCCTTGCACCTTTATTTATCATTAATGCCTGGTTAAATGACGTTTCAGGTCAAGACAACCATAACAACGGAAGCAGCACTAGGCCTATCACCAACAGCAGCTTCCCATCGACAGGAAACTTAGATGTTCAACACCCCAATGAAATCATACACAAACAAGATCCTCCCCTGATCCAATGATCTCCAGACTTCACAAGTGCACACGCTACCTGTAGCCCGCGTGTCAACGTACGTACCTGCAAACGTAACGCCGCAGAAATGCAACCCCAACGACCGGAGCTTCCAAAGGATCCGAGGTACAGCGTTTATAAAGAGCGACCTCAAGAGTCGAGTCTTTCCGAGCATGGTTTACGCGCGCCTTCTGGCGCCGGCATAGATGGCAGAACAGCCTAGCCTGTACCTGATCATGGAGCGCGCCGTTTGAAGCCTACATAAAGTACAGGACGTCGTTACATAATTACATGTAGCAGCCACGGCCAATGCTGGGCTAGTTTCGCCAGTGCCCTGCTGTGTAGTTGTATCTTTTTCCAATAAAACTGCAGCTGGGCTTACGAATATGATGGCGTTCACCACGAGTTCGTCAAAAGCCTATGGTGACAGAAAGAGCCATTGAATGATGTGACATGATGTGAAGATCAAGGAACAGTTCCTGGCTTTATGGTTATGTGATTTTAATTATAGCCTAACAAACGTTAAATGGTGAGATGAGCATTAGGCATAACACCTCGCGTCAAACCATGGAGGGAGGCCAAAGGAACACAAACTGTAACTAAATAACTGCCACTGTGACACTGAGTGAATATATGACAGTTCTAGTTCCGGATTGGGATCAGTTGATTAATTAAAGTAAACAAGAGTTAGGCCTAGGCTCATACTCATAGTCAAGATTAAACATAGCCTAACTAACTAGTCTCAATAACCAAGCCTATTTTAAGATTTCTTTACAACAATTTCAGTGTCTCTATATTTTATTTCTTATTTGTGTTTTCTCTTGTCTACATACTGTAAAAAAGAAAGATGAATTCAGGAGAATTCCCATTGTGCATAGGGAGTTAATCAGATAAAAGCAACAAAAATGTCATGCAGCGTCAGAGTTGAATTCAGCAGTGAAGAAACAGAGGAGCACACAGGTAAAGAAAACAAAAACCTCAAATAACATCTCATTCAACTCTGTCTCTTCCCCTTGAAACTTGATTAAATTGAAACTCTTCAATTTGATCCAGTTTTGCAAAGAACTGTTTTTACTGATTTCCGTATTTCAAACCTCATCTGTGGACTTTATCCGTTGTGCAGCCATTTCTGAGTTGGTTCCATGTAGTTTGGGCAACTAATTAGGTCACCTGATTTGCCCATAGAGTGCTTGCATGGTGCACCATCATGAAGGGAAGGCTATATTTCTCATGTGATATGCACGAGTAACGCTTTCTTCGTTGTCTCTGTCACAGAAGTTTTGTAACAAAAATTGTCCTCCATGATGCGCAGAGTGCAAGCTCTGTATATTGTTATGACATTTGTGATCAAGATGTCTCTATATTTGACCATTGCATTTAAACCTTACCGAGGATTTGCAAGTCTATCATTTGTCTGAAAAACAAACTTAGAGGGCCTCAAAACTCCATTTTCGCACTCATTTTTCTCAGATTTAGAAGGGAAATAATCTGAAGACTGATACCTTCAATTACACTATGTAGGTAAATTGGTCAATGCCTTCACATGTAGACAGCATGGGATGAATTTTGTCCTTCCAGATGGTAACAGGTCAGGGGTCAGTCCAAACAGGAATCAGGTTGGAAAAGTGGCTCTTTTCACACCTTCCACTTCTGTTGTCCGGGTTCAAATCCCACCTAGGTCAGCACGTGGATTGGGTTTTCAGTCTCTGCCTAACTCCCTGGGCTTCTCTGAAATATTTATCCAAGGTTCCCCCTCCGCCTCTGAAAACTGAACATTTCTTCAGTGCTTAATTGTCACTTCATCCTTTAATACCAGTGGTGAATGCGATGTTGGATGAACAGAAATAAATAAATATACATTGGCCAATAAGTACTCCAGGCAAAGCCAAGAATAAAAGATTTTCAGTATACAGTGTCAGGGGTAAACATGTTCAGAAGACTTTTTAGAAGCCTTTCTGTGAAGTTCATTTCTTCAAACTGTTCAAACAGTGGCAGGGAAAGTGAGCATTCAAACACTAATGGAAAAATTGTAATTCACCCATTATTCTGAATCTGATTGAGGTAAGGTATTTGTGGATATATCTTTCACAGTGATCCTCCAGTCTTATGTTACAGAGCAACATCGAGATGGCTTGATCAACGTTCTTCTACAAGAGGATGATGGCACCCATTTTCCCATCATTATTGAGTATGTACTCAGTCTTGCCTTGTGCTAAACTGTAAACAAATGTTTGTCCTTTTAAACTCTTTCAATCTTTGAAGTTTCTGAATCTCTATCTTTGATGAGCAATGAACAGTAAAGTATTTGGCTAGATTTAGCCAAGTTCTAAGGTTAAGAACTGAAAGGTTGAGATTTCTAAGCACACGAACTTTGAGAGTAAGGGTTGATATATCAGTGTGTTTGTAATTTTGTGTACAGTGCGATGACCTTGTTTGAGTCCAACATGGATCTCAGTGATTTGGTACTGAATAATCCTGTGCATACACTGTCAGTGTTCAATGCAGCGCTACGACGCGCAGCGATGGCAATTTACAGGGAACATCCCCAGAAAGAGGAAATGGTAAGAGAATATCTTTCAAAGATAATAAAAAGAAAGATAAAAAATCAAATTTTGCTCTAAGGGATTTTGTTTAGTTTGCATTGGGCTGAAATAGAATGTTTGCTTTCAATTGGCTTGTGTCATGTGTTAAAACTTCTGTTTAGTAGAGATTTAAGCTAACGCCATTAGTTTAACTGATTGATTTTAATGTGAATTCAATTTTATTCAGTTTGACTAAGTCCACTGGATAGAGTAAGTCTAACTTTGCACAACATGGAGAGCTGAGTTTTGCATTCTTTGTTGGGGAATGAGACCATTGAATTCCTGTTTGTATGTTGTTGGCATTCAGTCCCTGGTCATGTGGACCAATTTTAACTTTGCATGGTCAAGAATTGAGTTGTTTCTGGCTGCTGTTGGCTTACCGTTCATTACTTCCTTTGATTTCCTAATTTCAATTCCCGTTCTCCTTTCCTCCCTGTTTTTTTTTCAGACAATGAAGATGAACTTACACGCCAGGGTGACTGGACTGCCTGTCTGCCCTGAGCTGATCCGGGACACACTGCCTAAAAATTCTGACATTGGACGGTTTCTGTCAGTCTCCGGTAAGAGTGATGTGTTATGATATGTAGCCAGTCTTGCCATCATGCAAACATTTATAATTTTTTCCTGGTTTGAAACAGCATCATTTAGTTTAAAGCCACAGGGTGATGTTGTCTGAAGCAAGTATCATAATATTGTAGAGCTGCAAGAAAGAACATGACATTAAAAAAGCCATCTTTTTCCAACTTTACCATGGCATTTTAACAGGATATTGCTGAAAATAGGTATATTTAAGAATCATTGTGTGCACCTTTAACTCAATTCTTCCTTTAGACGAAGCTTTCTCAAGTCTCAGCTACAATTTTTTTTTTGCAGCAGAGGTCAAGTCCAATGTGTTGGTTGTAGATGGTACATCCTGAGGGATACTTCTCACATTTCACAGCAAAACTGATCTATGAGGCCTTTGTAACTGTTGTATTTTTCATTGGCTGACACAGCTCATCAGTAAAAAAAAAGTTGCTTTTTTTTTTTTACTCAGGAACTGTCATACGAACATCGATGGTAAAAATGCTGGAGTTTGAGAAAGACTTTATGTGCTCAAAATGCAGACATCCTTTCACAGTACAGGTACAACTTTGCTACATTTTTCTCACTCTACCAGGCACCTTTTGGAATCCTTGTCTTTCCTTCCCTTTAAAGTAATATGCTTTTGACTTTGTTAAATTGAAAGCAACTTTAATGGCGCGACTGTAGCCCCCTTCACATTTGCTAAATTTATGTGATGTGAATAAGATGACACAAACTATCAAAACATGCCGTCCTACAGAAGAGGTTCAGTCACGGAATGGTCTGTTCTTGCGCAGGCATCATTTGAGAAGTACTACAGCGAGTGCAAGCCAGATGCCTGTCCCAACCCGGAAGGGTGCGGCTCCAACAAATTCACCTGTCTCTCCAGCAACAGTGTGGGATCACCGACGAGTTGCCGTGACTACCAAGAGATCAAGATACAGGAACAAGTCCAGAAACTAGCCGTTGGAACAGTATCCTTATCCTAACTATTAATCACTAGTTAGAGCTTAAAGGAGATAAGGCCGTGTCCGAAACAGGCTTCCAGAGCTACGGCTAGGTCTATTGTCTACGCGTCCCCATGCATTTCTAATGGAGTGAAGACCTAGACCTAGCTCTAGACAAGAGATTCGGGTGCAGCCTTAGTGGTTTAATTAAACCAAGGAAGGGGTAGAAATTTCACAGAGATAAATGAGAGAGGTCGGTTAAGTTGAAGTGCAGAGCAATAAAAATGGTTTGAGAAAACAATAAAATTCCAGCCACAATGTAACTGTGTTTACCTCTCATGAAAGAGCTTTATAGTGTTTCAACTTGTACTTGCGTTAGTGCCCGATATCCAATGAAAAGTGGGAAGTACCAAGTTCAAATTTTTTCCAGTTTTTTTGTTTACCTGTACCGTTCCTTTCAAATTCCGAAACAACCTTTCAGAAAACAGTACAAGTTGTCAAAGATCAGTTGCCAAACAAGATGCAATAAAAACACTGTTTTTGGATCTAGAGAATCTGAGAATGCCTCCAGAATATCTCCTGGTCAATTTCATTTCCTAGTGCATAATGTGACAGCATAAGTGCAGGGCACTTTGCTTGAAAAACATGCAGTGATAAAATACATCTTGCTTCACGTTTTTGATAGCAAATGCAATTCTTTGAATACTCGGCCACTGGGCTAACAGGTACTCAATTGCCGTTGGCAGCACCCGCGATTTGGTTTTGTTGAAATTTTCATCAGGTAAAAACTGAGTGGTAAAATGTTATAATTTAAAAATTGTTGGCCTACCCACCATGGTTTTGCATTGCCCTCCATGGCCACAATGAAGGCAATCTCCAGACTCTTGCAAGCTGATTTCCTTAGCAACGGTGCAGATACCTCGGTCCATGTGGGTGGTGCTTGAAGATGATCTGGTGGACTGCTGCAAGGCGGGGGATGACGTCACTATCAGGTCAGGGAAAAAAACATACAATGTTCAAATTGTGTGGAAACGATCAGAAGTAAGCTACTATAAATCATTTAAATGCGAGGAACTAGCTATCTAGCTATTCACTGCTACCTGCTGACAGGATTCAGACATATTTTAATTCCAAATATGGATTGCCTCAGATGAATAGACAGATGCCACTTAGCCTTGAAGTGTTTTTATATCTATAATGTTACTTCATAGCAGTCAACAGTTGTTTAGGCTAATTGTCTTGACCCTTACCATGTCTCAGTTCTCACACACTCTCTGTAAGTCGCACCGTACCAAGGAGGATAATGTTCAAGACATGATAAAATGGATATCTCAGAGAAAATAATTGACTTACCCAATTTCTGGAGACCTGAAGCGAGATTCAGACCTGTAAAATGAAACAATGTTGTGGATTTACAATATTAATAATAATGATAATATCCAAGCTTTTCTAAGGCGCACAACATCTAAGAGTATCTGCAATTCAAAGGTACTGATATATTGTCACTATCCCTGCACACTGGGTTCACATCATCTGAATATTCCTGAAGATGAAACCACCTCACCTCCCTAGGGAGTATACCTGCCAGATGCTGCCATTGCAAACAAGGCACAAATGGCTAAACATAAACGTGTCTGCCTTCGCAGGTACCCATTTACTCCTGGTTGGAGAGAGGGACATAGGGGTTTAAGTGACTTGCCGAAGATCACAACGTGCTGTCACCAGCTGGGTTTAAATCCCCAACCTTACGATCAAAAGCTACAGACCCTAACCACCAGGCCGAATGCCCCCCCCAAGTATTTCCTCTCACTTTTCAGTTTCATTTTGCTTTGAAGTGGCATCGTCTTGCGACGATGGCGACCAGTGAACGTTGACGGCAAATGTGATGTGGAGCTTGTACTGCGAGCCAATCACATTGCAGTGAAGAACGACCAAAGAGGGACAATCACCGTCACTGATGAAATGGTATTGAAATAGAGTGTGAAAGCTCCAAAGACTAAACGCTTTTTACTTCTGGCATTGCCCTTGCAATAAGTGACAAATAAAATGGTAGCTTAACAATATAGTGTGATTTTTGGCAGGGCCACCACTTTACAGGGAGAGCTAGTGATTTGTTGCAGTGAATGCTCTGGAAACACAAACTTCAACAATATGTTTAATGGTGATCTTATTCCGCAACAATGATTGACAAGGTTGCAGGAGAATTGCAAGCGAATTGGAATGCTTTGTTGAGAAACACTGTTATTGGTATTATCATTTTTGAAGACAGAGGAATAACTTAACTTGATTGTAATCTACCTGATCTGAGAATAGAGCTGAAATGAACTGAGGAGCTATTCATGAGGCACTGCTCATTCATAACTTTGGAGTGATGATTAAACAGAAAAAAGAGACATGAAAAATTAAACTGCCTAACAACAATCTGTTGTGGATGTGAGAAAGGAATGAACTATTCTACAGGCAAAATGATGGCAATTTCCAGCCACCGCATACTTTACTGATTTTTGACACTGTCCTCAATATTTATGGAATGCAACCCAAACCCTTCAAGTATATTCAGAAACAAGTTAATGTTTCTGGTTTAAACTCTGCATTGTTGGTTTACATTTTTAAAACAGAGACAAGAATTTGAAGAATTCTGGGAGAAATATAAATATTCACCCTTTACGGTGAGTTCATGTATTTGTTCTGTACAGTCTTTACAGAGTAACCCTCCCTGGTTTCCAGGTGTAAAATGTCCTCTTGGGTTTGTTGCCAGTGATACTTTTTGTGACAAATTTTAGCACATCCAGAAATTGCCTATCTAAACTCAATTTTTAGATTCTGTTGATGAGCAGTACCATTTCTATTTTAGTAAACAAAATTACAGAAACTGGGTTATTTGTAAAGCAGGAGGCCGAAAGATGCTTTGAAGTGTTTGACAGTTTCCTCGGCTTGGAGAAAAGCTGTGATATCCAAGACTGGAATTAATTGCAGGGCAGTACAATTATCTTTTTTTTCCTCCACTCTTTGCAGGGTCGTAATGTGATCCTAGCCAGCCTCTGCCCTCAGGTCTACGGTCTGTATGTCATTAAGCTTGCCGTTGCCATGGTGCTGGCAGGAGGCGTGGCTTATTCGCACCAATCAGGGACCAGAACGCGGGGGGAGTCCCATCTGTTGCTTGTAGGGGATCCAGGTGAGAGAGGAGACCGAAACTGAAACAATTTGTTATTCCAAGGTTGCCCTGGATGTGACTTAGTAGGGGTGTATCAAACAATACTTGGATGCATCGATAATCTTAATACAAGAATGCTGTAATAACAAAATTGGGTATTTGGAATTTGGCTGTAAATTAATGTTATTCCAAATAATTTGTTCCAAATGCAACATGCCAGTAAAAGAACAGCAAAACTGCTAGTAACAATAACCATTCCCAACATGTAGGTGCACTCACGTGTTGTTTGCTTGGAGGGAAAAATACTTGTTTACATACTGTGAGTTCTGAGTGTATTGATTTTGATAACATGCAGGACGGAATACAAATGCTGTATTAGAAACAAGAAAGTCTGAGCTTTTCATGGTTTTATTCATGACATGCTTCACCATGCTAGGCAGCACTTGAGTAATATAATATACATGTAATTCATGTTAGCTGTGACTTACCTTCCATTTGCATCGACACAGGGACTGGGAAGTCTCAGTTTCTCAAGTACGCAGCCAAGGTTGTCCCAAGGTCCGTCCTGACCACAGGCATTGGTTCCACCAGTGCTGGTTTGACCGTGTCAGCTGTACGGGACTCTGGAGAGTGGCAGCTTGAAGCTGGGGCACTGGTGCTAGCTGACGGGGGAATATGTTGCATCGGTAAAGATTAGGGTTATAGTTTTGGTGTTAGTCATTGTTTTATTCATGGTACACGTATTCATCACACCGTGCTATCTCTCCCGATGTTAGGTGTAATGACTTTTGTTCCTGCATGTTTGCAGATGAATTCAACAGTATCCGAGAGCATGACAGAGCTAGTATACATGAAGCCATGGAGCAACAAACAATCAGCGTTGCTAAGGTAAGAAAATCCACATGCTGGGGGGTTCTATGTGGGGTTTGTATTCACATATCATACAGAGTTGTAATAGATGCAGATATTGTATAAAGGCTGAGGAAATAAAATAGGCAGCACTGAAATTATGTACTTGTACATTTTTGTATACATAATTGTATTCATGCTCAACAAAATGAAAGTGCAACTGCAAATTTTTTCTTCCGTTTTACATGTTCAATTGATTTGAAAAAATCAAATGTAAATTTAACTGATCTAAAAATGAATGTAACAAGACCAACTTCAGGCATCCCATTTTAACGTCAGTCTCTTTTTACCTCCTTAATCACAGGCTGGACTGGTCTGTAAGCTGAACACGCGCACTACAATCCTGGCTGCGACCAATCCCAAAGGGCACTACGACCCCAACGAGTCGATCAGCGTCAATGTTGCCCTGGCCAGCCCGCTACTGTCCAGGTTTGACCTGGTGCTGGTGCTGCTGGACTCTCAGAATGACGAGTGGGACAAGATCGTTTCCTCCTTCATCCTGGAGGGAAAATCCCCCGGGCCGCAAGGTATCTTTCCTGGCATTGAGGCTCTCCACCCAGGAGTAAGTGGGTACCTGTGAGGGCAGATGTGGTTATTATGTTTAGCTGTTTTTGCCTGATTAACTCCCCTCAAGGAGCTGAGATAGTACCAAGAATGTTTCAGATACGTTGAGCCCAATGTGAAGGGATAGTTGTAACATCGGCACCTTTGAATCCCAGATACTGTAAGTTAATATGTGCCCTTTAAATGTCTTCCAGTTGACTTTGTCAAGATCTTGCAAGAATGTGGGAATCCTGGGTATTTTCCGCAGAGCTTGCAGTGTGTGCAGCATCTTTTACTGATGAGTTCTCTGATCGTGTCTTGCTAGTTCCCTGCAATAAGCTGGTCTTGCAACACAAACAAAAAAGCACCGTTTCACATGTGTTCCATATTATCAGAGACTCAATTCAAAATACAATTAATAGGGTAGCGCTGTTTAATGATGAAATAACACCATTAGCTTAGGCACAGGTCAGACAAGTGGTGCCAGAATGACCTCGGGGGAAATACGTGCTGAAATTGGATTTCAAACTTGGAGTCAGAGAATAGAGACTGTCTTCCCCTCAGGAACCTCTCAGGATTGTCTGTGGAGCATGGAAAAGATGCAGTCCTACCTCTGCCTCATCAAGACCATCAATCCCACCCTGTCTCCTGATGCCAACAAGTAAGTTAGTCATCGTCCTTACTATCTTGCACCATGCAAACTACGCATCGTAATTTAAACTGCTGTATCAAGGCATACATAATTTATACATGAATAGATATACCTAGTTCTGTTTTTTTAATGTCCATTTGAACTGAAGGTTGGGTATTCAAACAGTATGGTGTGGGGGTGCTACAGCAATGATATCTTTTTGAGGCATGACCCCCAACCTAGTAGCTTTATGGCTGTTCAAATGGAGAATTGACTATGATGAGAAGTTTTATTTCAATTTTCCATCACCCTTACACCATTTCAAGGAGAGTTACATACACCTGTGCGGTTTTTCACTCATGATGCATAATTTTTGTCCTCCTTGCATGCTGGTGCATGGTATCAATTAGTGCACCTATGGGGCTCTTTTTAGCCGCCCTCACAACCATGAGAGGTCATGGTGTTTGTGTTCTTGAGCAAAACATGTGGCAGCAATTGCCTCATTGCAATTGGGTGCGTACATTGCAAGGTACCTGCGAGGATGGATAATAGACTGTGGTCATGCCGCAGGAATGCATTAGATCTAATGACCTGTTGAATTAGGGTAACGTCTGTGAAGTGCTATGGTGAATTTGTTTTTAAAAGCACTTTATTAGTGTAAAAATTTGAATAGATCATACAAGAGTACCAACTGTTAACACTGTATGCAATCACTGACCAGGGTTTTGTCAAGGTACTACCAAGCCCAGCGTCAGGCAGACCAGCGGAATGCAGCCAGGACCACCATTCGCCTCTTGGAGAGCACTGTTCGGCTGTCGCAGGCCCATGCCCGTCTCATGTGCCACGATAGCGTCTTGGTGCAAGATGCAGTGGCTGCAGTCAGCGTGATGGAATCCACCATGCAGGTTTGGTTTCACTGGAAATGTCCAATGGGCCCATGCACTGATGATGCCGCACATTGTCCACATGTCCACTTTCCTCCTGAAGTGAAGCGGGGACATCGGATCTGAATTTTTACAAGAAGGTGTTCATGTGCACAAAGTAGGCTTGCAGTACTCAGTACTACAAAATACTAAGCGGTGGTCTGAGCCTGCAGAACCTACATGCAGTGCTACAAATGATGACTTCTGGCTGGGGCACCCCCCATTGTTACTTGTACAGAGAACAATCAAGTCATGCATGTGCCATTGCACTGTATGGTACATTGTCTTATCTATTTTATCTTATGGCTTCAGAGAACAATAAAGTCATGTCCTCTTACAAGCGACAGCAATGAATACTACATTTTACTACTAAGTAGTTTGTAGTATTTGAGGCTGTTAGGGTTAAATTAATGTAGATCGATCTGTGTGATTAAAGACACTGACTTCATGTCTAAACTGCAAATTGAGTATCAGAAATGTGTTCGTTAATCCAGGATGTACACGTTTTTAATCCTCTTCAAAAGTTTTCTTGATATATGTTCCAGCTCACTGTCACTCCTCATCATGCCCAGGTTTTAGCATGTACGCCCCAAAACTCAGCTTTGACTGGAGCAAAAGACAGCCTTTTATCTTTTCTCTTCGGTTGTCAAGGATTGGAAACTTATGCTTGCTTTTGGCCTCTTGCTTTTACAGGGAGCTGCCTTGTTAGGAGGGGTCAATGCCCTTCACACCTCTTTCCCTGAAGATGCGGAGATGGAATACCAAACACAAGGTGAAGTATTAGCAAGAAATGGCACTGTCCCAGCAGTTAATTTCGTGAGACCTAGCGTAACATTGCACCATGCCTAAGCCTTACACCACAAATTGGTGACATAGCCGTGCAGTGTACTTGCAGTTGATTTCATGAAAAGTTGCTTAGTTACACAGCAATTTTATTATATTATGAGGACAATCACAGCTCTTTCTACAGCTCTTTATTTTCAATATCACAGCAGTCATCAAACAGTTGTTGAATTAGCTCTGCCCATCATTTTTCAGAAACTTTCATCTGTTTTGATCAGAACAGGATAGAAAATCTCAAATTCTCTCACAGCCAAACATCTTCACTACTAACAAAACAAAGTTGTACATTTCTCGTGTCCATGCAGAGCTTGTTAAGTTGAGCAAGAATGATTCTTAATCGAACATGATTAATTAGTAAAATTATTCATTTCTGATTTGTTTGGTGGAACTTATGCAATCTTAAATAATTGTGTAAGTTTGTTATAATTTATTGTGCAAGTCATGGACTTCAGCAGCTTAACTTTTGTGAAATGTCCTAATTTGTTGCATAACTCGAGCAAGAAAATGTGGTGTAAATAAAGTTACCCCATTGCTTAAAGTTTGTTGAAATCAGCTGAAACAAAGGGATTCCGATTTACAATTTTGCCATGAAATACTTAACTGTGAATTTTCAGTGAATGATGAAAAGTTTTCTTTTCTTGTGAATTTTTTTTCTTGTATGTTGTCCAAAACCTTAGATGGAACTTTTGTCTTGCAGTGATGACCATTCTGCCCTAAAAACATAAATTTTAAACTGAAATTTGCAGCCAAGATTACCAGCAGTATCACTGCTTAAAGTAGCTTACCTGTAAATTTTTCCAGTGTTTAATGACTGTCGTCCTTTCCCCCCAAATTTAGCTGAATTGATTCTGTCCCATCTTGGGCTTCAAGATGTACTGCAGACTGAGCTTCAACGTCTCCAAGACCTGGACAAAGAACGCTCACTCTTAGAGGACCCTCAAGCCACAGCCCAGATGACTAATAGTGCTGACTTTACCCTACCCACAGAGACAGCAGAGGTCAGTAGACTGAATGGATCTGTTGATCTATTTAGTCAAAGTGTTGCTGGAAACGAATCCACAACTTCATCTAGTCAAGTGTTACCCAAGGGCCCCAATACAGTGGTAAGAACAGACCATGGTGTGTCGGCTTGTGGAAGAGTGGGGAAGACCAGCACATCATCGACAAATGTTGTTGAGGAGACTAATAGATTCACAAGAAAATGCAGTGAAGAGACAAGTCCATCAGCAGGTAGTACAACCAGAGAAACTAGTGGATCAACTAGGCAGACTGTGGAAGAGAGCAGCAGGTCAACAAAGAAATCAGTGGAAAAGACCAGCATGTCAACAAGGAAATCAGTGGAAGAAACTGTTGGATCAGAAAATTGTATAGAAAGACAGGCAAAGTCTCCAACTGATAAAAGTAGTGGATCAAGTGTGGAACCAGTTGGGCCAAAGAGATCACCAACTGAGATTTGTAATAAAGTACAGCGTGGAGAAAGGACTGATAGTGTCAAAGGTCATAGGTCATTCAGAGCCAGCTCCATAGTTTTATGCGAATCACGCTCGCATCCTGTTGAGAAAATAAAAGAAACTGTGCTTGTTAGGCAAAGCAGTTCCCGTGATAAATCTGCGTCTGGAAATGGACTAGATCCTCAACTGCTTACAGATGAGGATGGGGACGTTGTCATGGCCTCCCTATCCCAGCATTCCCCAGCACCCCACAGAGGTCCGACTGTACTGGAGAGCACACGCATTGACTCTAGTGGCAGCCCCCCAAAAAATCTGTTCGCACTCGATGAGGATCTCGATGGTCTCATCTCAACACCAGATGTTCTGAAAGAGAGCAAAATCACAGAGGCTGGTGTTCCCTCAGAGGTCAGAACAATGTTGGACAAATTTCAAGGGAAGCCAGCAATGCGTATGGTCATTGAAAGGCAGTCACGTGAAGCAACTGAGAACAAGAATCCTCAAAGTGCCAAGATCTCAAAGCGAAAGTTGAGTTCAGGGGAAGAAATGTCTGCCAAAACGAATCAACACAAAAATGCCGAAAGCAAGAGGATGAGATGTGATGACAAAAATCGGCCAAAGGGGTCCCATAGTTTGTGCCCGTCAGTGGAGACGTCCGAATCACCTGATGGAGTGAAACATCTTAACTTATCAGCCACCTTTGGCAAGGTTGCTTCCTCAACCTTGTCCAAGCTGAGTAGATTTACATTTCCCTCCCCCCAAAACAACCAAGACTCTTCCAACAGTAATGAGCACCAGGAAACAACAAATCCTAAGGCTTGCCCCAAGTCCGATAAAGACACATCCAAGGATCAAAGTTCCAAATTAACTGCCGAAGCCAGGAGTCCAGTGTTGAAAGTGGACGAGACAAATGGTAAGCAACCGAAGACTGGATTGGGGAATGATAGTCTGTTCACCACAGGAGAAAGTCTGGACCAGATTGATCTGGATCTCGATTTTGGAAAGTAGTTTTACTGAAAGAAGACACAAAGTAGATGTATATCACACATTGTCAAAGACTTTCATCTAAAATGACAATATCCTAGTTTTCCATTAAGTAATTCCATAAAAATTGTTAAACAAGCTTTGATTGTACCCCTTTAGCTTGATATTTTTCTACTGAATAATTGTGTTGAATTCATTTATTTTTTTTACTGAAAATCAAACTCGACATTAAATACAAATGCTACAGATGTGTAGAATGATTCTGACATGTCATTCAGTGTATAGTTTGAAGCATGCAAAATCATTTATATCAAGACATGATACACGAACACATAATGTAAGTACATCATTTGTCAAGTGGGAGACGTTTTCATTGGCCATTTGTTGGATTTCTTGCTTCATTTAGATGCAACATGTTCAATATTGTTCACAGTGGCTTATCTTTCTGGAGGAAATTAAATGGTTTTAGATATCGTTTTTTAACTTTAGAAAAGACCGACCCTTAAACATTAGATCACACTAGCAATTTAGTTTTAGTTTACAATTTTACTGAGCCAAAACAAGTCTTGTTAAATATAAATATTAATAGACTGATATTGTGCCCACTAAGCCATGTGACCTATAGTGGATATTAGCTATCAGCAAACATGGGGTGTAATCCCTTAGCAAAGAGCATCATACGTGTAAGTTACCAAACATAAAGCTAGGGTTACTCGGACTACTAATGTGCTGAATACTATTATATTGAAACCGGCTTCATTTTTGGTAAACAACACTCAAAACACACTTAGCTGTGGGAGGATGCCAGGTTTGTTGATGTTTGATACCTACTGTAGGTCACATGACTTGGGGGCAGAATCGGTTAATTGCTTTTCAGTTTTGATTTGGAAAAAATTTACCACGCATCATGGCTAACTTGTCAAAATTGGTTACATCTTTTGATAATTGTATAAAAGTTTTATACAGCGACTCCAAAAATTACATTCTTTTAAATAAAAACTTTCTGAACAAGCATTAATTGAAACGAAACAAAACCAAATAACAAAGATTTGGTGGCCCGCAAATACTGTTTGTAATTTCCGAGTACAATTACCGTATACATGTAATACAGGCATGCAACTTTTCCTCGGATCAGCTGATTTCCTCATTTTTCACTTCACACTCCTGCCATTGAAACTTGAACAAACTCTGCAAAGAGCCTAGCGAGGATAGGAATATCCTCGTTTTTGTCAAAGTCCAAGTTGCATGCCTGGTAATACAAGATTGTTCGTACACTACTTTTTCCTGTTTGATTTTTAGCAAACAGAGCTCTTAAGTTTTCAGTGCACAGAGTTAGTCTCATATAGTGGCACTCTGTGTTAGGAAGATACTTAGCTGACGAGGGCAGGAATATGTAAGTACTCTTCCAAGAAAAACTTCAACAAAATTAACAAGGCCCACGTTTAAATTATAATATACAACCTTGTCTTTATTCCACACACAACAAGGGACTGTCAAATATTAAAAAAAACGGTGAGAGTGGCTTGCAAGTTATTGTATTGAAAACTTGGAGCATAGTTATTGATTGCAGAATTTTTTAGGGAAAAAAATCATAAAATCAACCCTTTAAATTTGTTGCAAAACGATTCCCACCAGTTGTGTGTTGAGTGCGTATTGTAACATTTCAACCAATTTAAAGGGCAGCAGTGATTTGTTTCTCAGACAATTTTTTCTGCAACTTTATTCCCTTGTTTAAATTGATTTACGAAAACTATTTGAAATCCCTTTTAGTTTAAATTTATTAAAAAATGCATTTTTTTAAACAGTCAAACTTGCTAATACTTTCCTTGCCAACTGAGGTTGCTGTGATATCATCCAGGGAAGACGTGGTTCAGTGCACTGGCTTTTCTGTTCAAATTGCAAACCCAGAATTCATTCACTAAAAACATTTCTGAGATGGGGGTTACTTGCTCGCTTGCTAATTGCTGTGTATTTTCACAACAATGTATCACCAAAGCAAAGGGAATTTAGGCCAGCAAAACCTATTAAAAAACATTTTGTGGACAAACCAATGTAACCTTTAGGTTTTCTTCCCGCGATGACTCCACAGGTTTTTCTTATGAATATGGAATTACTCAGCATAAAAGCAAAAAAAAAAAGGTGGCATGATCAGGGGAAACAAATTGAAAACGAAGATAACTGAGACACAAAAGTGCATTCTGGGGGTTTAATTGCATTTTTAAATGCATTTCAGAACCCCCTTTCATTAGGGAGAAGCAGAAAGAAACTAGTCTTCTTTGTAGCGTTAATAATAATTTAATAAAAGATAGATATTGAACGCATCCCTTCACTTTAGATATCAAATTGACATAAGTTTAAAACAAACTAGGATGGTCATCTCGTTTCAAGGAGTAATCGACTTTGAGCCAAAGAAAACCAGACTGTCAAAGTTCACCTTTTGATTCGGCATTGATCTGAATTGTTTCGTAACCTCGGCAACGACACAGTGTCCCGTGTGGAATAATTCGGAAGCACATGGTAAAGCCCCAATAAGCAAGTTGTTTGCCAAGAAACTTTGAGAAACGACCCTTGTGTCTGATTGTTATACATGTACATGCCGGAGTGTGAAGTAGCGTTCAATTTTGAGAGAAAAGTTGAGCCAGACATTTACTAGAAATGCACAGTCATTTTCAGAAGCGACGTTCCCCAAGACTAAACCCAGTTCCTTTATAGAACTGGTAAACGAAGACAAGACTACCCAATGAACAAGTCTTAAATTTTTGAAATAATAAATAATTGTATCTGAAATAATGAACAATTCTTATTTTTTCAGATTTGTCAAGAGTTATCCTTTACTCGAAAGTAGATGTAAAAATGCCGAAAAGGCAATCTTGAAGGCCAGTTATACATGTACTTAGCGCGAAAACGAAGCGAATTTGTGACGCCCGCTTTATTGCACAGGAATTTACACAAACGTAACGGCACGGACAGGCGAAGGTGATGAAGCAAATTGGACTTCGCGACGAATTGGCAACATACCGATACAGAAACGTATAAGGGCAACATGTAAAAATGTTTTTGAGTTACTGTCTCGCGGCGAGTTGAATTGTTGAATGAGTATCTCGCCGCGGCGAGTTATACGACCTTACCGCGGCGTGAAATTGAAATCCTGCCACGCCAAGTTTCATAAATCCTATTTGGCGTTCTCAGTTGTATAATCAGGGTTGATTGCAGTGAAATTGGGTTTCAGATTACTTTAAGCGAAGCTTGATTCAGCAAAGCTGGATTTCTAACACAAAAGAAAACTAAAGAAATTTTGGGGGTATGGATTTCCATATTTTGAAGTGGGTAGACTACTTCGACTCCCTGGTAGATTACCCAATGAAAGGATTACGATGCCTTTTCATTTATACTTAAATAATCGTAGGCTATTTGCATAAGCGCCGCGAGGGGGACCCTGAAAAGAAGGGTGGAAAAAAGAAAACAGCCAAAGAAATGACAATTAAAAATGAAATAGAATGAAATTATTTGCTTGAGAAGAAAGAAAATCGACCCGGTCCCCCCCCCCAGTTAAATGTTGTTGTTTGCCCCCTCCGTCAAAAAATTCTGGCGACGCGCGCCCATGTATATTTTAGCCAATATGTGTTGCCATTTCAGACCAAACCTCGATGTTGCTATCATCTTAACATTAAAATTTGCCATGATTTAGCCTCAACAGGCAAAAAGAAAAATGAAGCGAAGGTGAAAGGGAAACTAACACTCACTTTTTTTCATCAACTGGATTGAAATCCCCGCGCCCTTTGACCTCACATCCATGCGTTCACTCGTCACAATCCGCCCATACAGCGCAGAGCGCTAGGAAGGGCAAATACGTAACGTTTTTTTTTTATCAAGAGCTTACTGGATGGAGCTTAACATTTGAACACTGGTCGACACTTCTGGCCCAGTGCGCATGACACCATGCACTTATACTATATTTGGGGATTAGGGCACTAGGTAATTTAAAATGCTTTGAGCGTCTAAAGCTGTGAGGTACTTCACGCGTAGCGTTTGTAAAAGTAGGCCTACTGTTTTTTATCTCCATTTTAAGTTATACAAATTTCGACTGATGAAAGTTCAAATGTAACTTTCAAGTCCGCTTGCTTCTGTTTGGCACTTGGAAACTGTAGAAAGGAATTAAAACCAGTCTACCCCTCATCTGAATGTGGAAATTCTTATAAAAAAAAGATATCTTTTGTTTTCTTCTGTGTTGAAAAACAAGCTTTGTTGAAATGCAATATAAATCTCCTTTTGTTCCAATTAGCAATCTAAAACCAAATCTCACTGCATTTCACCCTAAAGATACATTTGAAAACGATACAAGTGATGAATAGGACTTATGAAACTATATTGAAATATTCACTGCGGCGGGATATCAATTTGACGCCGCGGTAAGATCGTATAACTCGCCGCGGCAAGGTAGACATTCAACAATTTAATTCGCCGCAGCGAGATAGTAAGTCGCCGCGGCGAGATAGTTACTCGACAAAAGGTTTGCAAGTTGCCCTTATATGCTTCCGTATAAGCAACAAAATGAATCGGCCTTTACAAATTCGCAAAAGTTGAACCCATTTCAACTTCTGTACACGAAACTGCTGAAAACTAAAATCTGAGGGCGATGCTGTGCCAAATTTTGTTTTGAAATTAGACTATTTGTTTACTAGCCACAGCTTGCAGTTTTCAAAAACATACTTTTTGTTCGCATGATCAGGAATAAATGCTGCATGAAAAACTGCCGTTTTGCGGGTGACTTTTTTGCACACTCTGTTGTCCCAATCGCAGAATGTCTTGCAAGTCGGGAAACTATGAAAACTCAGAGACCTCACCTTGAGATCAGGACTTATCTTGGACGAGGTGATGTAGTTCAGGACATCCTGGTCATACCGCACCTTGGGCTGGGTCTCTAGGACCCAGACCCATAGTCGAAGGAAGTACTCAGTCCGGTTGGTCGGCCGGTAGAAACCAACCCCGGCGTTGAAAACTCGACGATAATCCCTCATGAACGCGACATCGTACTGGTCGCCGCTGAAATAAGGAAAGGGGTCGTTGAACCAAAAGGTGTCCGAGTCGCAGAAAAACACCTCGAAACCCTGTTGGATAAACTCCAGCACGTAGCTCGGCCTGCGATTGACAAGTTTGGTGTAGTTGGCTGTGCCGTAGTTCAGAGCCTCTTTGGGGGTGTCCACGGCATTCGGTGGCTTCATGACGTGAAGACCGTAGCTGTGGTTGAGCAGGACCTCGTAAGCCATTGCATCCTCGGCTATCACGACCACTTCTGGATGGATGCCAACTTGCTGGATGCTCATCAGCATGTTTTCGGTGAAGTCCAGGAATCCCGAGTTAGTTGTGGTTAGGACAATTTTCCGCAAGAGCAGTGACTTCGCCAAAAGTCGCACCTTGGCCGTAAATGACGGGTCAGTAAATAACGGAGCAGTGGCAGCCATCGAATTGTCATGAGGCAGACTCTTCGGGGCCTCGGCCACCGATCTCGTAACAAGATCTAGGGTGTCCGGCAGTTCCCCTTCGTTCACATCGATTGGTGCGCTTTTCAACCACAAACAGACTGTAAGGAAAAAAGAATTCATGATATGAAAAACTAAACAGAAAAACAAACAAATTAAAGCAGAAAAGGGAATTTGTTCCATAAATGAGCACACCCTTTTAACACACGACGGAAACTCGGACCCATGAGCACCTAATAATTACAAACAAGACCAGACCAACATCACTGTGATTGACGAAAGCTTACCAAAATGACCGGGGAATTTGCGAATTGGTGATTATACCCGTTTATGTAAGAGTTCCATTTACGGACATCACTCATTTTCCCTTGCAGAAGTCTAGTAGCCATCAGAGAGTGATACAACATGTTCTAAAAAGTCAAATTTAGCATGAAAATGTTGGACCACTTATTTACGAAACACTTTAGAATTTTTCATCTGGTAGGGTTTGTGCACAAGTTGTCAAGTGATGTCCTGATACAGAGCGTTTTCCCAGGTTTATAACTTACCACTTGCAAACGTGACTAAAAGGAGCATTCCAAGAGCAAGACGGCTAAACGATCTTGCCGTCAAAAACCTCTCAAAGGAGCCGCAAAGCCACAGCTGAAATAAAACAGATGGTTTTGTTTGTGTTCAAGTTGAAAGCTCCTAAAAGTGACCATCCCAAACTAGTACAGAAAACTTGAAGTTTAGGAAGTACTAGTCGGAAATTGTAGCATTAGGCTAGCCCAAACTGTACTATGGATCTTGCTGAATAACTTACTCGTTACTTTGTCCTCTTGAATACTCCACTTAGAAGTCTCACTAAGAGACTTTGGAGAGTGGCTTAAGTTTAAATTAACGACTGAGTTTTGTGGTGATTTAGGGCATCAACGGTATCCCGTGGGAATCTGGTCTATTTTCTAATCATCCATTATCCTAATCAATCCTGCACATTCTTCCAAAACCTCCCGTTTCGAAGGACAAGGGCTAATCCATCCACTCCATAATTCAAATACGGTCGGAACCACTGTGGAAGTTACAGATGCACTGTGTTTATTGTGGCCACAAATCGCCTTCGGCCGTTCCACCGTACACGTACACTACTCCAAAAAAAAAGACTTTTCCCTGAAACTGGCCATTTTGAGAGAAATGTGCATTTGATGTTTTGAAACATTTTTTTAATTTTTTTTATCCCAATGAAAAGACCATTTGGAAAAAAAATGAAAGAATTAGACCACACTCATTGCTTGGAACAAAATTACAAGTTAAGAAAAAAGTGGTCCTTAACTTTGTTGAGTAGTATATTTCGCTGTGCCGCTTGGGCCACCTATGACCCTAGCCAGGTAACTCCACGTTCACTAACTTCCCTGTAACGGGTATGAAAGATCGATTCATTCACCTCATTCCCTTTACATTTTACCACGTGGACGCATAGGCAATTTAGTCGTACGCATACTCACCATTCCGGGAAGAAATACCTCGACCTGTCGCGACCTGTAGTAACTGGACAGAGCCTCACACCGTCTGAGTGTCGTATTTCTCAGCCATCGTTTTGAGCGAAGAGATGTATGCATGTTAACGACAGTTTTTCTTTATCTTTCTGGGAAAACATTGACACGAATTTGTAGAATTACAGCGGAACGAGTTGATGTTGTCGAAAAGGCAAACAATTCCGCCCGAAGGCACTCATCCGTTAAACCAGGGCTTTTTCAATCAGAGCCTCTAAGGTAAAACATAATTCATAAATGTTTACAATCAATATAAATAGTTTTCAGCGATGTAAATAAAGTCTACTACTTACAGCTAAGAGGGAGAACACTTTAGTCTGGCAAATGAAAACGGCGACACCGAAAAAAGAGAGAGACTTGGTCTAACCACGAGCTAGGTGTTGACTTCGGCCAACGCCCTAATGGCTTCAGCGCAGGTGGCCTCATGCACCCTGCAGTTCACCCGACTCGAAGAGGGCGGTAAATTTAAATAATAATCAGGCACGCGGTTCCAAAATGCTTTGCATTCGTGCAACCTTGAGTAAAGTGCACCACGAGTGAGGAATAGTCAGATACCTGAATCTGAAGCGTGCTGCAAAAAGCCCCACTTTATCAAGTCTTCCTATACTGCCAGCATATACATAATAGACACAAGTTGTATTTTTTTGCGAAAGAAAATGTTACGCTCTACACTGTTTGTATTTCACGACTAGCAAACATTGTAAGAGTAACGGCCTACACCAATTGGGGACAAAATCGGGTTTCTTTTTGATGGGCGTGTTTCTCTATTCGCAGTGTTTCGCTGAAGAGCTCATAACAGATAGTCAAATTCAAATGGATGCTCGACTTTGTTCTAAAAACTATGCTTGATGGCTTGCAGGCTTTGAAGGGTGAAAGAGGTTTTATGTTGTCAGTTTTTGTCGAATAAGACTCAAACAAAGTTTGTTATCATCTTTCACATTCGTACAAATTTTGATAAATCATAAATGAAGCAAGACAAACAGTACTTTAACCCTAGAATGTGGCCAACCGGCAGGTGCCAGCCTTAATGCAACAGCACGAGCTGACAGCTGTCGACCAATGAGAAGCTTCAACTGGGTGGCAAACGCGTGAAGGCACATTTCGCATGCACGCCGAGCTTGGCCCATAACAGCAATGAGTAAAGTCCAGTGAATCACACTTTACAGCTACATGTACTATCATTCCCTTTTTATTTACAAATTGTAAATGCACAGACTAAATTACAGATATCATACAGTAGACTATAAATATTAAATAACTGAACTCACCGCATTCTAAAAAAGGACAATATGCTTCATTAAATTTATATAAAAAATCGATTTACATAAATTAAATTGACAAAACAAAAAAATGTACTGATGTTTAAATGAAATAATTTGGGTACTGTGCAATGTCATTACAGCTTTTGTCATAGTGCAGTGAGGATCTAAGAACTGCATGCATTTGCATGGTAAGTAAGTCTTCAGCACCAAGTGACGCCAGCAGTAAAATTCTGCTGAAAATAATCTGTCCGTAAATTCAATTTTATTTTACCTACCTATGTGACGTGAGGCGCACACCCAAATGCGACAGATAAAAGCAGGCACTGCCACCATAAGTCCGTGTCCCTCTCCACCAATTACTTCGCGCTAATTTGTAATCTTGTTTCGTTATTCAATAATTCACGATAATTGTCCATGTTTTTTTAAACATTTCTGTACCCAGGCACGTATCTGTACCCTTGTTTTGTTTCAATGCAAAAAAAATCATCTTCAACTGAACAAGTTCGCCGTCTTCAATACTGCCGTGAAAAAAATATTCTACAAGAGTTTGCACCCTTATACCAGTTAACAGTGAGAATTATCAACAATTGACAATTTAACAATTTAAAAAGGACAAAAATGGCTTAAATGCCTCGTCTTTGCAATCCGCAAAATATGATACTTCAGTATAGACAATCTGTGTTCATGTTTTAGAATAATCATTCATGAAATCGAACGTGTAGATTAACAAAAGGGGATTGCATCTGTCCTTTGGACAAGTACATGTTGTATTGTTCCGTTCACTGAAAACACTTGTGAAGTACTGACTACAAACTTTAACAGCATTCTTCTAAGTATGGCATTCACTTTATACACAGTAAATGCAGAATAGCTAAACAGTATAAATAAACCAATTGTGGCCTTGGAAAAAAAGCTCCAGTCTCTATAGTTTCGTTGGTTTTGCTTGCTATTTAGGGGTTGGAGAACACACGAATACATGTCTTCTGTCTAAGCCAGCAGCGATGTCAAGTAAAAATAAAAGACTATTAAAACAATTCCCTGTTAACATGTCCATTTGTGACAAATCCTTAGTACAAAATGTTTCATCGATGTTGCATATTTATTACCTTTGGAAGGACTGCCACAGAGTGCATAGGCAATATTTCATTCACAAAACGATCCATAAAATGTGTTTGCAACAAGTTAACATAAAAACAAATTTTACACTACCAGGATTATCATGGCCTTTGTGTTTGTGAATATCTCTTTTTTTAAATAGCTCGAACAAAATATGTCACATATTTTGAAGCCTTTCACCGCCCACAACTGTTGTTAACGGCCTATTCTCAGTATTTCCAAACCTTCAGTACTTTTCATTCTTACAATAAAACTATTTTCAATTCTGCCTTCCTTAGAAATTGTAAAAAAATGAAACCACTCTCTCAAAATAACAAATAAAACAAGACACTTTCAAATACAGTGTCGAAATAAAAAAAATTACAGCTTGAAAACTGGTCATGTCCTGATCACATTATAAGTAAAATAACAGGGTTGAAAACAAATTGTGGAAGTCCGGTCTTTGCCACGCAAAATAAATATTTCAAATTTACATTGTACAATACAAAGTCCATATATACACACCAATACTGTTAACTAATGCCTGTTAATGTTTCCAAACCATTCCTAATCCTCCATTAATCACCCCCCCCCCAATTGAAGACATCGTTTTGGCTGACCTTTCCTTACAAAATAAGATTACCTTGTATACTCGGACAACTTTGAGCGAGAATTACCTTCACCAACAAATGACAAAGCAAGCCAGGGACAAAATAATGGATAAAGAAAGAGGGAAATCTCAGATGAACTCGCTCAGTACGTTTAATGTGCAAAAAAAGCTTTGCTTTAAAAGCAATGAAACGATCAAAATGTAGACAATGAGGTCTGAGCAGACCCTTTGGTCGGAACCACTACAGTTAACTGGTTCACCAACGACTACGAAATGCAAAACAGTCACGTGGTTGCCAACAAAGAGAACACTTCCAACCCACATGGCTCTTCTCAACCAATGAGGGGGTGCTTCATCTCAAGGTGGATAACCACTGCATGATGAAGTGCACATTTCCAAGGCACAACTTCAACATGTTAGATTTTCAGGTTGCCCCCCCAACAAAGACGGACAAATAGTGACACAGCAAATGGTTTGAAAAATACTGACCCAATTCAACAGAACTAAGGCCATGTCTGCAATATCCTTTCAGGGCTACGGCTATGTCTATTGTCAGTATGCTTTCGAATAATTTCAATGGGCACAGAGCTAGACAAAGCTCCAAACAGATTCCGATGCAGCTTAAAAAGCAGAAAACACTGCTCAGCTGCTTTTTGTGTGAGTGTGCTTAGCAAAAATGAGACACGAACCAGTCACAAGTCACATACCAAGCATGGCACTTCGGCTGCTCCCCTATTTTTCCCAAGCACATATATTCCACATTTGACCAGTTTTTCTGCTTAGTGGCTTGGTGAAATCTGGATCCAGGGGTCAAAGAAATGAAGAGTAAAAATTGCCAAATCAATACAGTATTGATTAACTAGTGTCACCTTTACAACTCCATAAGATATCACAAAATCTCTGTATGATGATGGTATTTCGGTTAGTGTTACAAATACAGTGCGATTTTGAAGCTTAGAAGGCTATATTTTGCTAGCTGTGAAATACATACCGGTGCTGTGGGGATGCATCCCAGAGCCACAAAATTTGAAGTCTGTTAGGCAAATAATCTAAGACTCTGCAAAAACTTATCTGATCATTGCCCCGGAAAAGTGACTTTTCGGTCAGACAAGCCATCCTCAGATATGGTGCTTACTAAGAAAGACTTTCAGAGCTGGCAAACAAGAACAAGGCAATCCAAGTTCATCTTTGAAGGTGTACCAGTTAATCATCGATTTGTACAATCCATAGCTGAAACCTGTTCACTCTACTGTCAAGGATCTGAGCGTACAGCAAAAAAAAAAGGCATTGGACATGTACAAGTCTGCAAAGACGTGTTCAAGACCGCAAAGACACCAAAACTTGGTGCACATTCAGCTGAAAGCCAACCAAATGTATTTATATCCCCCCTGCAAGAACTCATGTGCACACACAGTGTGTCTCTGCACAGGAACTCTCGTCAGAGATCAAGTATTATTTCCAGAGAAGTAAAACATGAACGTCTTGTGATGCTTTAAAATATGTACAGAAGAAGTAATTGGCACTGTTTTCACTGTCTGGCATATACTTGCCAACACCGGAAACTCAGACAACGGTGCACGCAGATGCAAGGGTCTTGTTGTCTCATTCCCTGCTTCTATTCATTTGTTTATACTGATTCATTTGTGATCCCTGAACACGTGATAAGCAAAACTGGAATATTTTGGTCTGGAAACTGGACAGTAAGAACACATAGATGCCAATGGCTGTTTCTTTCTGTGACCGGACAAGCAGGTGGACAAATGCGATGAAGCTGTGTGCATATAAATATGCAGTGAATGTATATAAATGAAACAGCGGTGGGGGCTTATATTTAAGCCATGGGTCATTGTGCAATGATGTGTTGCAATGATTTCTTATTCGATCTTAAGGAATAAACGTATTGTGGTTTGTTATTGTTTACCATTCATCAAGATCACGACGCTCTGGGAATCTACATAATAACCAGGGGCAAAGCAACCTCCCCAGATGGTGTGCAGTGAGTGAGGCTTTCTTCTGTTTTTGTGTTTTTTTTTCAGAAAACCAGTTTGTTGCAATTTTAGGCCTTTGAAAACCCAAACCTCATAATAATTTTGATAACATCAGAACAGTTGGCAGGCATGCTGGCAGTCCTCTTCCACTTTGCATTAAATGCTACCACCTCCTGTGAGTTATGTACACTAAAAAAACCAACATTAATTCTTTACCTTTGAATAAAGGGACACTTTTAAAGATTTTTCATGTCAGCATTACACAGTCAGGAACACTGCGTAGAGCACTAATAGTCTTAACTCTTGTGGTACAAGAACGCTGATATACAGGTTTAGTTTGTTTGAGTTATAGAGCAGTTGGACCGATGAATAGGGTCTGGGCTGATGGTCTTGGGAACTCCTGTCCCGACATATTCTGCTGAGGTTGAAGGGATCCGCTGCTACCTTGGCGCACCATGGGCTGTGGTGGTTGCTGACGGTTGGCGTTCCCTGCTTCCCCATGCTGTGGGGCCCCTGCACGCTGAATAGCCGGTTGGGGGACGACGGTCCTCACCGCTCCGTGCTGGGAATCGGCCTCAGGCTGCTGGGCCACCAGCGGGGAGGCCTGACGGGGTAGGATGGCCCGGTGGGCCACAGGCTTGGGTACAGGGGCAGACTGGGCCAGGTTCTCCAGGCTGCCCTCGTCTGAGTTCTCCAGTGTGTAGCTCAGTCGGTGGGACACTACCGGCTCCCCAATGTCTCGGCGCTGCTTGGCTCTCAGCTTCACCGGTGGCTGGGAGGATCTGCTCGACACATTCTGCAGATTTGCTGCACCTAACTCAGTGGGATTTCCCTGAATGGAGCCAGCAGAGGAAACCCTGGTAACCGCCGTGTCTTCATCTGGACGTTTGGGGAGTGGTCGGTGCGCCATCGGGTTGGCAACCATGGGATGGGTGTTGGTGCTGGGTGCGTGCTTGTTCACAGGGTGAGAGGCCACTGGCATAAAGTTTGCAGTGGGTGGTGGCTGGCTGGTGGTTCTTACAGCTGATGGTCTGGGGGCAGCGGTGTTGTTAAACTGTGCTGGATTTGTCGATCTATGTTGTAAGGACTGGGTATGTTGTCTTGGTGTTACTTGCTGCTGTGGTTTCTGTTGCTGCTGCTGTCTTGCAACTTGCTGTCGGGAAACCTGCTCCTGTGGAACATGTTTGCTTACTTGCTGCTGCACAGGCTTGCTTCCACTTGAAGGTTGTCCTAATGCAATCTGCAAAGTCAGAGGTCGCTGAATATCCTGGTTCCCTGCATCCAGACCGTGTGGATCCCCCATGACCAGGGTTCCAGTTACTGGGTAGGAATTGGCCATGCCCGAGTAGGCAATCTTGGCACTGGAGGGCATCGTCTGGGAGTTGGACACATTTTTGCTGGGGATGCTTCTCGGAATGGACCCTGTTCTGAGCTGCTCTTCACTTGACGACAACACCTGACGCTGCTGGACAGGTATCGGCTCGCTACCGGGCAGGACCCCATCTCTCTTGGATGCATCCGGCGGGGAGATTTCATTCTCCGAGGCCTGGGAGCTCCCAGGCTGTGAGATAGGTACCCCCGAGTCCCGGCCTTGATCGTTGTCAGCCGGAGAGTCTTTGGTAATGGTGGTGGTTGTGGCGGTGGTGGCAGGGATCTCTTTCTGCTTCTTGGTTTCGTCTTTGCACTCTTCTTTGACACGGACCAGGAGTCGGCGAACTTCTCGGTTGTTGGGGGCCAGCTTGATGGCTTCCAGTAAGTCTTGAAGGGCTGGGCCAAATTGCCTAAAGGAGGAAAAGGGAAAAGCTTAAGGATTGTATTTATAATTACTTATGTCCAAAGGAACACTCAAGCCAGCTGAAGCTGGAGTAACTGACGATCCAATTCTGGTCAAATTTTGGGGCCAAACTTCTCCAGGCAGAGATTGCAAAGCAATCAGGTTTTTCAAAACGTGCTTCGAAACAGCTTCCTGATGGCACTGTTATGATCTCTGTCCTCTCAAGCACATAATTTGACAATTCTGTTTCCAACGCCACACTTACTCGGCCCCAACCACAGTGCCATCCTCCTTTTCCTCTGTATTGTGTTTCATTTTATTTTGCCACTGTGTTGCTCCCTTTTCGCTTAGCCTTTGAGAAAAATTGTACACAAACTGGTTCCTTCAATCAATCTCTTTCACCAATCAGTCCACATGTGGAGAATGTTTGACGTGTAGGATAAAGAGTTTGCCCTGAGTTTTGTTCTGTATGCAAACAGTTCTGAAAGATCTGAATGCATTAACAAGTTCTTTGGTCATACACAAGTCAGTACCCTTTCAAAATGTTTCTGCCCAGAATTGCATCTGTGTACACAAATGCATAGAGAGTTACCCACTGCACAAAATGCAGTAACCTAACACATTTCTCTCAGTTGGAGCTGACTTTGATATTGAGTATGCTTTCTCCAACTTATCATACCTGATAGCACGTTTGGCTCGGGCTCTAGCGTAGAACGCCTCAAAGCACTTAGGTTTGATCTCCAGAGCCTTAGTGGCCAGCTCAATGGCTCCTGGGATATCCTGCAATGAGGAAAGCAACCACAGGAGGCCTCAGTCGGTCTTATGGTCTCAAGCATGAAAACTACCCTAGTTGCTCATTAATCATTACTTCAACCTAGACTTCCTAGCTCGTCAAAATATCCCTTGAAGCATCTCGTTTTACAGCCAGAGGGTGGACACTCCAACAAGATAATTCCACCTAGAAACCTCGGAAATCAGCTTTTAATTCCAGTCAATTTCAGAAATTTTACTATGGTTTCCTGAAGAGATGTCAGAATTGTCAACAGCAAACAGAATGCAATATGGTCTTTTAGACACAGCTTACTAATATATATTCCTCTATCGGACAAAGCATTCCATAGCCATGAACAAGATGATTTCCAGAATTGTTACATTTAATAAGCCTTCCAAAATTTTGACAAAATTTAAACAGAAATAAGCAGTGTAAGTGGAATACTTCAGACAGTATGATTGCTTTCCTAACAGTATTTTGGATACCCCACTCAACCTTGCATTTAGTCAGATACCAATCAGCGTTTCAAGGGAACTTTCTGCATCGATGGATTATGACGCGACGCCAACTTGATACAAATATTCACATTGTACATGCTAATGCACAGACACAGCACGCTATATCTCAGCTTAATTGCAAGCCCAAAGCAATCATAGAACAGCAAGGTAAAAATGAGTAAACAATGAAATTTTGGGGAAATGTAAGGCCATTTTCCATCTTCAAGAATGATGGCAGGATGGCAGTCCAACCTCCCCACCATTCCAGAGCAAAAACAGAAATTGTACTGATGCTATCCTGCTCATGGACACAAGTGCTCCAATCTCTCTGGCTGGAGTTCATCCCCCCTTCCCCAACTTTACCTCCAGTTTCCTCTTACACCTGGACACGTTCAGCAGGAGGTTGACCTTCAGCTCCTTGAAGGTTCGGATCTCATCGCCAAACGCCTCTGTTGGGTACTTCTTGAGTGCACACTGGTACTTGTGGCATGCCTCACGCCACTTTTCCTTCTGTGGATGCAAAGGAGGACACGGACTCAGTGCCACAAACCACAAGATCCAACTTCCACAGTGGGGAGTTCTTGACCCTACATCAATTGCTCAATTACATGTTGATCAAAAGCACAGTGAGTAAAAATTAATGGTGTGCATGTGCATGCCATTTTATTACATGCCATCCATAAAAATTGGTGCATGATTTCAATCATCCCAGCCATTCAAACCTGCCAAATTTACTGTGTCAAGTTCTCTTCTGTATATCTGGCGTTCAACATTTTGCAAAGGGTACACCATTCACTATGTCCGAGTCATCTTGTCGTTTAACATTATGGGGTTTGACTCTATCAAATTCTTGAATGATGATACAGTGAAGCAAAAGCACAGAATACTTGGTCACAACCACGAATATCTGAATGCATGAGTCCAGGCTACCTTGTGTATCACTGCTTCTGTTTGCAAAGTTATAATTTCAACTTTCACCTATGCCTCCAATTCAAAATGTGTGAAGTGATGTGTTTGACTACATGACGTTACACTTATGTTCTTAAGCCTTGACCCAAGTCTGCTTTAGACTGATGAAGTTACAATGGACAAAGGCCCTAAGCAGGACCAAGAGAGGGCGCTATTTTCCTCGCAACTGAGGCTATTTTGATGGGAACTGCACCTCACTTGTTCACAAATGACTATGGGATGCATGCGCTGTGTAAGTGTTACTACCAACAAAACGAACACCCCACCGGCATGCCGATGAGGGGGTGCTTCTGCTTCAGGCAGATTTGGCATAATGTCTGACCTTGTAGAGAGCATTTCCATCATCCATGAGTTTCTTGAGGAGTAGAACCAAAATGTCCGGCTTGGAGGTTGCCATGGCCCAAGCAGCAGGACCTGTGCAACAAAAAAGTGTTTGGTCACCATTATTGTTCATCTTGAAGCAAAGACCCATCCAAGTGTTTGCAACTATCTGTCAAAAAGTGAAACCCCACTTCACCAGAATTTTCTTCACGTAACGAAAGGTAACAAAAATTCTGCAAGCTTAGTAGTCTAAAATGCTTCACTTTTGAGGAAACACAAAATAATTCTATGCGGACAATTTCAAAAAGATCTCTTTGATAAACAATGCAAAGATGAATTATTTGGTTGTCACTTTTATCTTGCTTAGTCAGTAGAATATGAATCTAGCATGGTATGACACCCAACAACCTGAAAACTCTTTGTTAAGACTCACGCCAACCTAAACTTGGAAGTGTGCAGTATTGCTGCAGTACCTTTTTTGTCCATTTGCTCTAAATCGGAAAACACGGAAAAACACTCTACGCACACTAAAAGAACTAAAAGCAGCTCAGATCGACAGTCCTAAATCAAACATCTGTAGCCTTGGTGGTTAGTTTCCCTACTTCAGTGAAGTTATGATCAAAATAAAGAACCGAGACATTACTGGGAAGGCAACTGACCTAATTTAGCTCCCTTCTTCAGAAGTACTGAGACAACGGATGTGTTTCTGCAGCCGATGGCCCTATCTAAGGGCCGCATGCCGCTGTTATCCACGTGCTCAATGGTAGCACCTTTCTCCACCAGTAACTGCACCTGGGTCAAAGAAACAAGAAAGATGTTAAAGTCCAAAAATGGAGAAAAGGGCAGTCAAAGTGCCAAGATATAGTTTGGACATTGGACAAGGTCCTTTTGGAGTTAATGTCATACTTCAGTGTACTTCTTTAATCTACTACCGTGTTGAAAAAAGGATGAGAAGAATCTCACATTACAATGTCAACCAGGTCCAACATATTGATAAGTATGTTCTCATCTTGTCATTTTTTTGCCCCCAAGTTTTTTTTTTTAAGCAACAGTCCAACTTAATGCCTCATCCATGTAGGTAACAAGACTATTCAAAATGGTCCTGGACAAAACTCCAGAAAAAAAATCACTTCAAACTGTGATATGTATTCAGTTAAGGTCTGTTTGTTTCACACGGATCCAGATTGCAATCAGTGATTTGACGTTGGTGCACTGGCACCAGAACCTGTCTAATGGATAGTGCAAACCAGCCTCTGGATCACTGACCACGATCTGGATCCTTATGAAACAAACAGGCCCTTAGAGTACAGCCGCATTTGCCCCACAAGACACAACTGCTATCCAAAATAAAAAGGAAATTTCCATCACTGAAATCTTAACCCCAAACGAGAGTCCAATACTAGCTTTGCTGCAATAAAGATGAACAGTCCGGCTGTAAACACCGCCGGAATCAAGTTACAAAGCCTTACAACTTGTGGATCGCCGTAGAAAGCTGCCAGGTCCAGCGGCGTGCGGCCATTCTTGTCCGCATGGTCGATGGTCGAGCCCCTCTCCAGCAAGGACCTGACAATGTTGAAGTGACCCTTGAGGCAGGCCCAGCACAATGCCGTCAGGCCCTCCTTGTCGCACTTGTGGACAGATGCACCTGATATTGAACACATTGCAAAAGTGACTGCTAGAACACTGTTTCTGTACTGAGGACACAGAGCTACCACACTCCCCAGTGAGGATGGCATGTGTTACTGATGCCGGGTAACACCATCATGTGTTTTAACCGCCATCAACTTTTATTACAAGATACTTGGTGTTTTCTTAACACCTAAGTGACAACTGACATGTGAGGTGAAGCCAAAAGTGCCATTAGGAAACACTGTTAATGTTACAGCAGCTTACTGGCCCCACTTGACCACATTTTATGCCACACTGACGGGCAATTTTCATCTGAATGGGCAGAGACCTAAAGACCTTAACCTCTTTTTTTCAACACGTGCATGGGGTTCACAGGCTGTGTGTATGATGGCATTCTTTCAGTGGAAATGCAAAGTCTGCCGCTTGTGGATGGAATTATCTCTGTTGTTACTTTTCTGCTTGTTTCTCTCTCACCTTTACTCAGCAACACTTCTAGGACAGCCAGGTGGCCCTCTCCGGCCGCCAGCATGAGCGGCGTCCGACCATGCCGGTCACTCTCCTCCAAGGAAGCATGGTTGAAGAGCAGGATGTCCACAATCTCCCAGTGGCCACGTCGGACCGCGCAGATCAGCGGGGACATCTGGACCTGGTTCATGGCGTGGACCGATGCGCTCCGCTTGAGGAGGAGCTTCAGGACCTCGGAACGGCCATTGGTGCAGGCTGCCGTGAGGGCTGGTGGGAGAGTCACACACCAAACACTTAAACCCCGGGATGTTGCAAAGCTTTTTACCCATACGTGATATGGGATGACAATAGAAATGCTTTATTGTTGATGTTCCCCATTGCTATAACTTAGTTAAAATATTTTGTAAAGGCATATCAGAAGTATAGTGAGGTAATATTTTCATGAATTACTGTTCTTTACTACCATTGCAAAAGTGCATGTTAAGCCTGGTTTCCATATTGACGTAAGAAATGCAGAGGGTAACATAATCAAGACGCAAACTGCAAGGCAGACATATGAAAACATATGAAACGGAAGTATCACCGATAACCCAGAAATAACGCAAACTAGCCCAAGAAGGATCGGCAAAGTTGAGTCTGGTTCAACTTTGCCGACTGTCTGCGTCGAGTCGCCTATACAGTAGGCCTATACAAACACACATGCTAGTATGACGGGCATACGACGATGTTCGTCTTGCTTTATACCACTCATTTTGTCCATTTTCTCCTTATTACTAGAACTTGCAGCCCCAATCGTCAACAAAATAGCTGACCATTAACAAACTACATCAAACTGGAGTATCAGTTTGGCTTCAAGGGGAAACATTGCCACCTAAAAAAGGCATTTGGGGCGAAAATTTTCTGAGTTTCGGACGCCATTTTGTTTAATTTTTTGGTGGAATGATGTCGCGCAGCGTCTCTTCTGCGAATGTCTGTGTCTTAACGTCTTGCAGACTGTCTGCGTTTATACAAATTACCATATGGAAACCAGGCTTTACTTGATCTTTCACGAATGTGTTGTGAACAATCTACCCTAACATACTTGCATGCATGCATATTGGATGATATATATTTCATTCATGCCAGTAAAGCAATGTAGCACAGTGAATGTCCAAAACAAACTTTGGAATACTTGACTGGTAAAACGTTTGACAGTCTCTTGGTGTTAAAATATTTTGAACAGGGATAAAAGTGATAAATTGGCACTGTGATGCGCAGTAGTCAAGATGCTGATTACGCAAAATCATCACAGAGCGTAAAATAATGCGGCACCGTATGTGTACCCCGTGATGTTTTATTTGAGCACTTATTTTTCACTGCTCTATAAATTTTCATCCATGCCCTTCTTATCTTTTACCTGTTTCTCCAACAAGTGAATCTGTCTGATCAACTGTCACCAGGTGACTGTCAGCTTCAGGACCTGGCAGATCCAGCAGGAAACCACACACCTACAAAAATCAAAGAAAACATGGAAAAAAAAGGTCCAAATGCTTGGGAAAAAACCCAAACAGTTTGATGGTAAGCTGATTTCAGTGCTGAAGCAGTTGTTAGGATTATGTCCCGATGGTCACCTAGCACTACGACAAAACTGTGCTGTAACTGTCTGTTCAGGTCAGTCTTGGGATGAACGACATTTCCAGAGTGGTAAGTTTCAAATCTTGAAGATGTTGTATTTCTTCCCAATGTACCTGGAAAAACCACTTTACCTCTTTGTGTCCATTCCCGGCTGCTGCCACGAACGCCTGCTGGGCTACGCTCTTGCTGTTCAGCTTGTCTGTCTCCTGGCCCGTCCAATCACATTGCAGGAGGAAGCTGAGGGCGGCCAGATGACCGTGCTCGGCCGCATGGACAACTGCACATTTACCGTTCTTATCAGTGTCAAGGACCTTTGAAAAGTTCAGAGAGTGCCAAAGGAAGGTAGATCAAATACGTGTAATTCCGATAAAGTTGTCTTAATACCACCAAGGTATAAACACTGGTTAAAAACAACGCATGATTCCATCTACAAAAATTTCTGCCACGTGTTCATTATTTTACTCTCCATCCCATTTTAGATTTTCATCCCAAGTCAGATTAACCACCTGATTGTTCAAGTTCCAAAATGCAGACACTCTGACTTGAAATTTTGCAACATGTAAAATGTCGACAACACATCTTTGACAATAGTTGTCCTTTTGGAGCCAGTTTTTATGAAGGACAAAGGGGATGGCTGTTTCGACCCTTTTCTTTGCATGCACTTTCTTTGCCGGCCAAACTATTTTTTACCAAACACCCGTCACACTGACTTCACTTCATGCATCAGAGAGGACTTCAAAATGGAGAAAATCGGAAAAATATATGCTTATCAGAGAATAGATTTGGCATTCCTCAGAGAGTGTGGTTACTCACGCCAACACTTATATCTATGCAATGTACACAAGGCATTTTTTTTCTTGTGTTTTGGAAGGTACGGAATAGGTTAACAATTAGGATAGAGTTCTCCAATGGTAATTGTTGTAGTCAAGTACTCCTTAAGTTCCTCACAAGCACTCATAATTGCTTAAGGAAAGCTTACGTAGTCTCAAGAATTCTTGGCTCAAAGTTAGCAACAAACTATGTAGACTAGAATTCCAACAAAACATCCAAGCTATTGTTCACCAACTGCTAGCAGGAATAACAGTACTTCCGTAGTTTACTTGTGAAAATATTTCCAAAGACTACTGAAAAATGCTTGTGAAGCACATGAAGTACTCCACTTCAACACTGCCAGCATTAGAAAACTGACGCTTACCAGTGACTTCTTGATGATTAACATGCGCATGATCTCCAGGTGACCGTTGGCGGACGCGTAGCTCAGTGGCCCCATTCCCCGGTCGCACTCCTCGTTGACGTCCGCGTCAAACTCCAGCAGGAGGGAGACCATCTCGGTGTGGCCCTCCCTGGCTGAGACGCACAAAACGGGGGCATTGTTCAGGACGTCTGTGTGGTGGTTGGGGCTGGCTCCGGCTAGGAGCAGAAGTCTGCTGACCTACAGGACAAAAAAAAATCAAGGTGTAACTATTATTACTACCGTTTAGTAGAAGAGATTCATAATACGGTGAGCCTTCCCAGGTTTATCCCTCACAAAGGAAATATCCAGCTCATGGGATGAAATCAGTGACTGTACTTAGGGCGCCCTTTTTATTTTCTGTGGTTCTCTTATCTTTTTTCAATGGAGGGAGGGTCGGTCGGTTGAAAAAAAATATATAACCCAAAAAATCCATGCTGTGCTATACAGGTGAATGAATAAACCAGGCAAAGTACACTATGCATACTGGTCACTCGTTTTTATATCGCGTACAAGTGTCTTCATTTCTAGCCGAGTAGAGAGAAATATTTTCATAGGTACACAACACAATATCTCGTAGGAGTCAGTGTCAAGACATCGTATGCGGCGTACGGTGTCAGTGTGTGCAATGTGTATATACACAGTGCATGTATGTTTTGGTTCTTCCTATTTTATGGGCAAGAAGGGTCGGGAGAAAAAAAAACAAAGGCTTGTTTTTTTTCCGAGGTTGGGAGCCCAAAACAGGGTCGGACGGAAATGAGAACCACAGAATTTAATGAGGGTGTAGTACAGTGTTTCATTTCTTACTATCTATTCTTTGAACATGTGGCAAAAATCCAGCGAGATCAGCGAGAGTCGGTGAACAGAAGAATTTTGTGTATATGACCATGGCGTACGTGGTGACAAAAAAGGGAAAACGGTAAGATTTAGTGGTGAAAGCATCAACCACCAACGATGCAAAACCATGCATGATCCCTATAACGTCAAGTGATGTCAACCTTTGCCTACAGCGTGGTGCACGCTTACATTTGACTCGATGTGATCCCTCTTACAATGGTTTCACTCTCATTCTCATTAAGAGCTAATACGGCACGGCAATCAACAGCAAACAACACACTGCACAGAAGAAAGAATACCTTGACATTGGGAGAGAAAAGATTGCGTCTAGTGGCTAAGCTGTTGGACAGCTGGTCGGTGTTGAGGTACATCCAGACAGCCTGCAGCTCCCGAGCGGAGAACCCGCCCAGCTGCCGGCCTAGCGTCTTGTAGATGTGCGCCTTGAGGATGTGGTGGCCCAGCTCAAAGGCCTGGTCTCGATTCAGTCGCTTGGACTGGCGGCTGAGCTTGAAGGCCAAGAGGGCATGGCCGGATCTTTTTAAAAGCGAGACAAAGTGAAAAAGAGCTCAAATTAAGAAAGTAAAAAGGAATAAATCTTTCAGAGGAAAAGATTAAGAGGTACGAGATTATGAGATGTAATTTAAAAAAATTTTTGGATTGAAGAGATGCTAACTTATAAACAGTATTTTACCCTGCACTGGTATGTATTAAGAAACACTGAATGCTCAGTGTTGTTCAACAGCTTGTGAAAAACCACCTGCTTTCTCGGGGAGGGGGGACTCAACCCCATAATTTTCTACTTACTAGTGCAGGCCTCTTACCATTCAACCATCAAGCTTGCTGGGGTCAGCTGGCCGGTTCAAGTCAGTTGGGCAGTGGGTGCTGTACTGTTTTACTGTTTTTTTTTAACAAGATGGAACCTTTACACAATTTGCAAATTACAGTTTTTATAAATATACCTCACTGCACGCAAAAATATCCAATATGAAAGAACATGCCTTGGTGACTTAAGCTCCTTTCCATTCATCTAGAAGCATATTAAAGGGCTCTGCATTGTCATGTACAGTGTGTTCTCTGGCATGAATACCAAACAGCAAACACTGTATGGAAAAGCTTTGTATCTCTTCAACCAAGAGATAAACTGTGTGCAGAGACATGACAAAGATGTAAGTAAGCGCTAACAGTTTTCAACCCTTCACCTGTTGGAAGATTCAAGACTATTAGAGTTAAGAACTATACTTGCACACAAACGCATGCTCACTGCCCATGAATTTAAATTTTTGTGTAAAGTCTGATATCTTGCCATTCAGCTGGACATTACTGACGAGAGGCTCAACTTTCTCAATATAAACATCTCCTGCTGAAAAAGTCAAACATCTCTGCGATCTCAAGCAGAAGAGAGCCCGCCATGCCTCACCTGTGATCGCACATGAACTTGACGCTTTCCCCTTCATCCCTTCGAATCAGCCACTCTCGGAATGACGGGTGATAGAACATCCTGGTGCCGTCCTTCCGCAGACACAGAAAGCTAGACACCATCTCAATCCGCTGCCTGAAGTCATCCTTGTCCACGTAGCTGGTGATGTACCCTGCGTTCATCACATCAAAGATTAACGGGTCTGGGAGAGGGTACAGGGAAGCCAGGGCGATGTTCAGGATTGGCGCGATGCGCTCAAATGCCCTGGTTGTTTGGAACTTGAGATTGCAGAGCAGGAGGTAGACCTCCGAGAGGTTGATGGGCAGGACCTTGTAGCTGGCGCTCTTGAGGACGATGTGGCCCTTCTCAATCAGGTCCAGAGTCAGCTTCAGGTAGAGGAAGCAGCCGCGGCTGAGCGCCTGGAGGTGGCTGCGAAAGCGTGACTGGCCCGAGTGCTCCAGCTTGCCGTTCAGCAGCACATTGTCGCGCACGGCCGCGCTCTGCTGCAGTCTGTAGTTGATGTACTGCTCGGCGTCCTTCTGCACGTGCTCAGAAGAGACACTGGTGGCATTGGTGGTGGACTTGTCTAGGCAGATTTTGTGGAGGGGAAGCATCTTGGTGATGTCCACAAGAGAGCTTCTAATGGTGATAATGACCTTGAGAAGTATCGCACAAAAATGAAAAATTAAATATATGTCTACCATGTACTATGTGGTGATCCCTAGTTTGGAACTTTTGGGTTAGATCCAAGCTTTTATTAAAAGAAGTTGGAGGAGTGAAAGAAAAATTCAGATTGTCAAAAGGAAATGAGGGACTGTCTAAAGCAGAGATGCCACTAGCCTATGCCAAAGAAATCAGAAAGTCCCCCGGTGTCGGTTTTATATGTATTAATGCATGGGTCTGCATGCATGTACACAACGTGCATCTTCATCATGTAGTGGGCTATAAAAACAAAAAAGTTCTTTCTTGATCATCGCTGGTCGATCACAGTCATGAGTTGCAGCCTACATGTAGGCCAGCCTGCCTACTCAAAAAGATACAAACATGACGAAAGCTTTCCGCCCGATTGGAAGTATGCAGCTTTATGGTCATGACGGTAGTCGGCAGGCTTAGGCCTACCTGGCAAACGAAGCTTTCTAACATAAGTAGAAAAGAAATCACCACTGTTATCCTTTTCTTCGAGCCATCTTCACTGAAATTTGTCCTTGACATCTCTTTCAATATCATGAAGATATTCATTTCTGTTGACAATTACATGCTGCATTTTGTCGGCCTCGAACATAAAGTCGATCCATGTGTTGATCGTCCAATGTACAATGTACGTTCGTTGTGTACGTTCATGCATCGTACATGTTGCATGTGCATGCATTGAGCTGTCCATGACAAGGGATTTACATGCGTTAAAGGTCAATATTTAAACATATTTCCAGTCACTGACGACACCACTCAACACTGTCCTTCGTATTTGACTGACGTAAGCACTCTACTGACGACTGTGCACAAGATTAAATACCTAGTCGTTTGGTGCAGGATACGCCATAGATTTGCTTCCAGTGTTTTCTTCTTTATTTAATTTTGTCAATGTTGAAAACATTGAAGAGGGAAATGTAAAAAAATCGGATTTGGGGAGAAAAATACCAAAAAGTTGGATTTCCGATTAAAATCGAAAACGTGGCATCTCTGCTAAAGACAGACACAGTTCTCTGGAGCTCAGAAGGTACATGTAGAAGAGAAGGACTAAAGGGGGAGCCAGATTTTTTTTCTGCGCTAACCTTGATCCACGACGGGAACTTCATGATGTTCTTGGTGAGGAATGAGGCGATGGTGTCGCCGTAGTCCGACTTGTGGAACTCGGCCTCGCTCAGCCCGTCCACCAGGATGATGCAGGTCTCCATGGTGATGCGGCCCTGGCTCTTGAGCATGCTCAGCGGCTCCAGGATGGCCCGGAACAAGACCTCCGAGGGGTTCTGAGTGCAGTCGCGCATGCTGAGCAGAGCCTGCAGCTGAGGCTCAGTCAGGAGCAGTTCTCTGAGAGCATAACCGAAAGAAACAAACTCACAACAAATAAAGCATCAGGCAGTCTGCCATGAACTCCTTGAACCCTCTGTAATCTGATTTTAAAAGAACCAAAAAGTTTGCTCCGGGGTACACATTTCCATGGTTAAATTCGAGTACCAGTCAGAATTGTGCATATTTCATCTGGTAACTGCAGTGGTACATATGGCGTGAAACATCTGCGGCGGCATCCGAAGGTGTACCCATTCTTTCAAGGGGGCATTGAAAGCATATGCTTGTGCATAGGGTGTGTGAATTTCATGATTTCAAATGGGGGGAGGGTCGCACTTCCCCGTACCTCTCCTATAGTTATGCCACTACGTAATATTGAGTGTGGTACCTTTGCCATTTCTCATTTTCGCCAGGCATTAATTTGTGTTACACTGGTTTCAGTGCTCTTTTCCCCTCTGACCTATGGACTCTCTAACAGCAGTCTTTGGAGGAAAACCTACGTGTGAATACGTGCAGGCCAGAGGTCAAAGCTCTTACTTGTACGGTTGCAGACAGTGTGCAAGCTGAGCAGCCATTGAGTGGACAAACTCCGGCACCATGCAGGTGATGCTGTTGTCAGCCTGGCATACGTGGAATGCTCCGATCTGGGAGGCCAATGACATGAGGGCCTGCTCTGACTGCTGGCGCATCCTGGTCAGCGTGCTGGAGCTGCTGTAGACGTTCATTCCATTGGGCGGGTTGCTATTCTTGTCTGCAGGTTAGAACAGAGGAAACAAAAAGATAGTTCTGACCAGCTGGGCAGAAATGATTCTAAGGAGCACCCTCTGCTGACAGTGATCTCAGGAAACACCTGCGATGAAAGTGAAGGAATTTCAATACATCTCCTTTATGCTATTGATGACTCTTTGATACCAATTATAATTGATCAGAGAGGGATGACAAAACTGCCTCATCGACAGAGGAAGGTATCTTGCTGAAGGTCGGCAGGTCTGGCAACTTGGATGACATATCAGGGCTCTGTTGAAAGTTATCCTTATTGTAGACCTGGGTCCTGGAAAAATATTCTGAAGGTTTGGAAAACCTACCATCTTTGGCTTAATTTCAGCCCAAGTGAGCTTCAGAGCAAATCTTTCTTAAACTTGCGACCCCTTGCACCCTTTAAGAAGCCCATATGCCTCGCTGAGTCAGGACAGCAAACAGAATCTAGCAAATTGCGACCGGACTGGGAAAAACAACGCAAACCTGAAAGGGCGATCTCGGGACTGCTGTCGTTGACCAGGAACTGACTCAGGATGCTGAGCGACACCAGCTTGGCGACAATGGTCGTCTTTCCCGTGCCCACCTCCCCCAGCAGAACCACGCCCCTCAGCTTGGAGGTGGTGTCCTTGATGAGGGAGTGCTCCAAGTCAATGAAGAGCCACTCCCGACCGATCACGGGATTGTCCTGGTGGAAGCCTGGGATCTCAAAGGTGATTGGTCGGAGGAGGAGCTGTGAGGGCTTGTAAACAGGAAGGCGGCCTGCATCACAGTACAAACACCCTTTAATTATAATCAGGCAGCTACTATTTAGGTATACTCAGAACCATACAAAAAGCAGCAGACAACACGAACAACGAATTTTTAAGAGTAACAATACGGGTGGTTCAAAACAGTGTGTCTCCGAGAATTTGAAACAAGTTGGCCAATCGCAACGTGCAAAATCTGTCAACCCTTTCCAAACTTGCACTGGGTTGACAGATGTTGCGCATTGTGGTTGGCAAACGTGTTTCAAATTCTTGGAGGGGCACTATTGTGAATCGCCTTTTTTTCTGAAACCAATTTTCAAAAATATTTACAAACTATCCAACACTCAATCACCTTTCATTAATTCTGTGCTGGCTTTGCCTGGTGGTTCTTTGTCCCTCAGTGATCGCCTGACCATGGCTGCCCGACGACCACCAAATAAGGGAATATCATCCAGCGCTTCTGGACTTGAAGCTGTCAATAAATGAAAAAAACACAACAGTAAAGACTAACTGATTTCCATTATCATTACGTGCATAAAAAGACCAATGAAACCTTTGACCAAGGGGCTTTTAGGTCTGAATAATAGACTCAAAGCTTAGAATGCCAATTCGACTAGGCCTGTATTCTGTTACAGCCAGTTTTAAAAAGCTATACATCATTAACATGCTGCATTCAAAGGATTTGTAGCCTTTACCAGCCTTAGACTATGTGCAATGACCATATTAGCAACCAGACGTACTTGAGGCAGATCTGTGTCTGCCCACCCCGGTGTTACTGAGCAAGAGGCCTGATGCTGACGTGTCTTGCTGCACAGGCGACAGCAGCCCCACATCGTTGACAACGTCTCTGCTCTCAGCCAACAGGTCCGAGTGCTGCTTGATGAGGGCTGGCTTCGTGGACTGCCGCCGGTTTGGTGCGTGCTCTGGACTGCTGGAACCGATGCTGTCAGAGTCCTAAATAATGGAAGTCAGTAACATTGGCTCGAAAGTGATGAAAAATACAAAGTAGTTTGAACAAATTCAGATTTTTACACGCTGAGAACTACGAGATATAGTCAGTGCACTGCAAACTCCAAATGCCATGGTTGTTCTGGATTTACTGGGAACTGAACGAACCAATGAAATTCATGATAACCAAACATAAAAATTATCTACACTGAACCCTGACAGGAAGTGAGATATTTCTTTACTCTCACCTGTTTATCAACAGCTATGTGCTTCAGGCTCCCCTGTACCTGCTTTGGCACCTGCCCACCCCCATCAACTTGTGGTAAAGCCCTGAGGTTGCTATCCGATTGGCTGATGGAAGACCGGGGATTTGAGTGCGGGAGGGTTCGACTCTGTTGACTCGTAGATGCAGGTCCCTTCGGTGTGCTAGCTGGCAGTGTTGACATGTGCTTTTGGCTGGCAATGGATTCTAAAGTTTGGGGATTGATGAAAAAGACTTTGGTGATTGATAAACAAGTATACTGGGATCATGCTTTCACCGTGTGCTTTTCAGCTTTTCAGCAAAGGAACAAATGGCCTCTGATGAAGCACAGTTGATTACACTCTGCAGACCCAATCTCACGGCTAGGCAGCAAGTAACATTCAGCAAATGTAAGAGTTCAGCATGCATGTAATTAAGTCTGAAAACCAACAATAAGCAATTAACCTCACATGGCATTTTGGTTGGCACCCAGTTTTTGTTAAGTACTCGTTTAAAGCATCTAGCAAGTTTTTTTTTCTGCTCAGCAGTTCCATGTTGTAACTGGCTACTGGGTGAATGATGGACCCTGCGCATGAGTGAACAAACCTCCACAAAGGTGACACAAACGAACAAAACAAAAATATGACTGACCATCCAATGCCACCACTGCTGCTGTGTCAGTGAGTCCAACCCAAACAAAGACACTCCACAATTGTGCAGATTTAGAAGAAAATTACTGGGTAAAATGCATGCCAGAACCAGCGTGCCAGTTTCCCACTGGAGCTATCATGAGTGATTGCACAGAATTCATAGAATGCAATGTCAGCGGTACATGCACTGCCTTAAAGAAATGTGTGATGACTTCCAATTTTTAGAGTGCCAAGCAATAAACTATTAAAAAATTGTATCAAAAAAAGGACAGGGCCTCTTATCACAGGAACCTGGGATTTAGAGGTGAATTCATAATCATTTCCAAAAATATATTTTATTCAAATTTGCTGAAAATATGCAACAATGCCGACTGCGTCCTGTAAACTATGCCAATTTTGGCACATCACATCAGATTGTCTCCGACCATTCATGTGTGACCAAACATTATCTTGTTAGTATCACACAAGAGAGAATAAAATTGACCTTTTGGGGAAAATATTAAACTATCACAAAGTTGACAGGAAATTCATCTTGAAATCCTGGTTTCTTTTGTTTCTTATTGTATCTTTTATAAGGATTCGGAATGAAGATCAGAGGACAGAGGAGTTAATGAGAATAACTCTTCCCATACAAAACTTATGCTTTGGGTACTCACCTTTTTGACTTTTCCCATTCAAACCTGGCGTACCCTCGATTTTGGATGACATATCAAATCCTTCCATGGAGGACACGACTGTTAGTGATGGCCCGGTAGAGTCAGCAAAGCTGAGAGAGCTGTCTTTGAGAGTGGAATCCATGGACCGGCCGCGACTGTGCAGCACTCTTGGGCTGGCCATGCTGGGCGAGCTGGTCCGAATGTGCTCCATGCTGCGAGGTCTCTGATTGGCCAGATCATTCTGTTGTAGGACGCCACCAACCGGAGTACTGTGTCTAATAGCCGTGGTCTCTGATTTTTCTTTCGACGGAGATGGTGAATTGGATTTCTGCGAGGACGGCGATCTTGCAGCTTTCGGAGGTACAATTGGCTTTTCCCGGACAGATGGCGACTTTGTGTCCATGACTGGTCTGTCCTGTTCTTCTTGCTGTTCTGCATCAGCAGAATTGAATAGTTCCTTGAGCTGCTCTTCAAGACATGACTTTCCCATTTCCTGATTGTGATAACTCCCTGGTCTGGAGGAAGGCTTAGGGGCTGGGATGGGTGGTTGACTCTCTTTGGTTTTTGACACTCGCGAATCGATGGTGTGAGCACGGACAGGAACATTGGCTTTTTCACTGTCCTGGCCAATGAAACTATTTGGCCTATTCTGCCCTCCATTTGTGGCAGCGCCATTCACCTTTCTGTCCTTGCCCACATTTGGCTGGATGTCAACAGGGTTTTCATACACGGCCGGATTCTGGGTGTACTCCTGAACAGTCCGGCGAACTTTGGCTTCCTGCACGACGGGCTTTGTGACCTTCGGATCGACCAGCTGCTTGGCCTGATTAGCAGAGGTCAGAGGCTGTGGCCTCTGTGATGCAAGCTCAGCTGAAGTTCTTAGACTACTCCTACCCTTGAAAATTTGATTCCCACTGTTATCCGGATTCGCTTGTTTGACAGAGGACCACTTTTTGGCCTGTTGGATCTGGAATCCTTGTCGTCCTTGCGTGGGTTGTCTCGAGTTTGACTCCTGTCCCTGGTGCTTGTTGCCTTCCAGCCCTTCTGAGGTTCTGGTTTCGGCTACTGGGAATGACTGGCTCCGATCCCGCAGGACTGCCGTGTTGGCCACGGGAGTGCTGTGCAGGGGAGGGAAGAAGGTGGCCTGGACAGTTCGCTCACTAGATGGAGACTCGGGAGGAGGGGGCATCTGGGCTTGCTTGAAGAGAAAACCCAGACGATCCATCAAAGCTTCGGCAGCCTCAGAGGGGGCTGGTGGAGGAGTGCGCCTGTCATCTACGCACATGGAAAAGAACAAATTATGAAAGCAGAGAGGCATAAACTACCAGTTCTCAGAGTGTATGAGCCCTGAGCTGGACCAAAAAAGGGAGCAATTTTCCTACACTTCCGAACAACAATGAAATGCATGTGATATGGTTGCATCACAACTAACAAAATAAATACTCCCAGTCAACCTGGCTCTTTTCAACCAATCAGGGTGTGCTTCTGCTCAAGGAAGATAATTCCTTGCATGACTACAACTTTTGCAAGGAGACGTGTCTTTACTGCATGTATATATGGTGAATTTGTTCAAAGGATTAGCCAAATGCATACGGAGAAACTCAGTACATAGTTACGTGTACACTGCCACGTGGTTTCTATCTTGGCATTCTGTGCTTATCATAACCTTCAAATCTTTTTATTGGAGTCTGAGACCAAATTGAAAAAGTGAAAAAAAAAAAAAACATCAAGGACGACTGCACACACTTTTACCAGTCGGGGAAAAAAGATGAACAACCCCCTATGCAGTATAAAGGTGCGCAAGTCTGACTAACAAATGAATCAATAATCCTCCACACTTTTTAAACATATTTTCACTTGACTTGTCCCTTTCCTCCTGGGGAATTTCTCACCTTTGCAGGAGTCGCAGTCACTGATATCCCCGGTGTCGTAGGATGACTCACTGCCCTCGTCAGAGGTTGGGTCCTGGGATGGGGGAGGTGGGATGAAGAGCTGCGGCGGTGCTGGAGGATCTAACAGCACACAACAGAGGGCAGGGAAAACAAATTGCAATTCAAATACACCAAAGAGGTAAATGGAACATTTATTTTGTATTCCCTTTCACACCTCCCGTTTTTTCAAAGCTGTTTTTAAGGTTACTGCCTAATTTCTCACAGAAGCAAGATGCGTGCTGTTCAGTCACAACAACACATATCTTTTTAACTTTAGCCAATCAGATCCAACACTGAAAAGCCACCGAGAGGTTTGAAGGATTTTTGAGGATTGAGGAATGCACAGCCTGGTGACTGATACCCGTACCTTTCAAGAAATGTTCCACTGGTTTTCTGCACAGAGGAAATATTTGAGACTTCAAGAAGGCTCCAAGTAAGATCATTTGGGGAGCTAAGCTTAATGAACTTCTTCTTGTAAAGAGAAAAAGAACAGATATCTAACATTCAGGATGTTGCACGTGTAGAATGTGCACCAATGCCTTAATTCTGTTCTTAACCGGACAACAGTGACACTGAGGGGTGCACACTCTAGAATTCGAACATCAATTTAACTTGTAAAATACAACTGTATGTGTGAGTGCCATTTAAGACTGTGTCCAGAAGTAGTGGCTGTGGCTGGAAATAACATGTGCCCCTATGGAACCCTCAGGCTGGGTGGCTGCAGCGGCTTCCCACAGACACATGAATCATTACTGTCAGCTGCAGCCAGTAATTTCAGAGGCTGTCTCATATTTTTTGTTTGCTCTAGCAACTGACCTTGTCTATTGGTGTATTGTGCCAAAGCAGATGGACTCATGGTGGGGTCATCAAAAAACTTGCGTCTCTGAACAGGACCTGAAAAATATAAATTGAGAAAAAAAAGCTCAAAACTTCAGATTTGAGATGTTTTTAAATTGAAGCAGGAAAATAACCAATGTCAACAACATACTGCAAACAATGTCACAAAATCCCAAAGCACAGCATTCTGAACTTATCTCTTAAGAAACAGTCTGAAATTTCGAGTTCAATTCTAACTCCTAATTTCAAATTCAATTCTATACTCCTTAATGCACTTATTTGCCATGGACGACAAGCCAACCCAGCCAAGCATTAAGCAAACAAATGTGCAAGTTGTCAGGCAAACGTACAACCAACTAGAATCCAATCCATCATACAGATGTAAATTTTAAACGTTCCACAGCTCTATGGCATTAAGTTGTAAGCACACAGGTATTAATCTCAAATGACAGTTCAACTTTTAAGAATATTGACTAAAATGTAGCATGCATGTGTGGCATAGTAACAGTCTGGTTGTGCACTTGTACGTGTAGGGTCTACAATTGCAGCATTGGTGTCTGCACAGTCATGTACTTTACATTTTGAAATGTAGCATTCTGAATCCTTCCTGCTGTTAGGAATAAACTGAAGAATTCTTAAGATTCAGAGAATACTTGCAGGTTAAGGTCTGGTTGGTAAATGTAACTCCCATGAGGCTTCAAAAGCAGGGAACTATATGTGCTTCCATACATGGCCAGAGGCACTACGAACACAAGAGGGCCGCTTTACGCCTCCAACGTACAGTGCCATGTTTTTGACATTACCCGCTGTCTTCGTAAATCGTTCTGCAGATCTCATATAAGCCTACACCTACGCTGAATAAGTCTTATAACATCATCAACGGTCACTGATCGGCTTGCAATGAATAAAATTGGTGTGTACATGATGGAGATCACACACCATGGGGCACACACGTTTAGTGCAGTCATGGCCATTCTGTCAGATCCAAACTTGGAAAAGAATATGCAGAGCTGACAGATTTCTACCTGATGAGGCACGAGCAACATTGAAAGAGAAACAAAAATGATGGACTTAAGGGTTTGATAAAACAAGGACACTAATTTAGCCAGCCATACAATAAATAAGCAGAACAATCTGTAAACAGAATATGCATGAAAACTAGCAAATCAACAGCCCAGCCCTTAGCCCTCAGACTCTTCTACAAGATCCCTTCAATGTTCACTGAGAGCTTTAAGAGGATTTGAGGATCAAGGAAAGAAAATCCATTAAACCCCTTAGAAGCCCAACTTTGCACTGTGGAGGACTAGAAGGATTCAGGACAGTTTCTGGCAGGAATGCCCGTGGAACAAGAATTACATGTAAGTTCACCTAACCTCCCCACAGACAATTTCTCACGACTTTTCAAAGCACTCTTGTCAGGTGTAATTGAGCCAATATACCGACACTTAGAAATCTGCCAGTCACGCTGCCAACACTCGACCCTTTTCCCAATAACTAACCATTAACAGAGTGGCACACTTTTTCCTGAGAACGCAGCCCTACCAACGCTTTACAATCATCGGGCAATGAAACCTTAGATCGCAACAACCCTAAACAGAGCCCCTCCAAATAAATTGCCAAATGTCCGAATCAATGCAACTGGAATCTATGTCAAACATTCTGCTAAGAGGCTCCGCGCCAACATCAATGGTCCAGTCTTGAAATGCGGTCAATTACTCAGGGAAGGTTGTCATGATTTCTGGGCATTCATGTTAAAGCTCTTGTCGGCAAGCTGGAGCTCCTGACAGCTTTTCAGATTCAAAAAATGAGGTCACACCTTCCCAGCTCTTGCCACCATCTAAGTCTCGGCAACAAATGCACACCAACAATTCTACTCCCATTTACCCAAACGCACAGGCACCCAAACAGCCAACCAATGGCATTTTCATCATACATTTGTATTACTACCCAGAACTGACACATTTCTGTAATTAGCAACTGTCCCGTGAAGTTGGCCTCCGCTCTTCTCACAATGCATGGGCTTAATTTGATTCCCTGTTCTCCCTGTACCTCAATCTTCCCACAGATGTGTTTGCATTCATAAAGAGAAAATTTCCATTTTGGAGGTCCAAAAAGCAATGAGCCCAAGATGGGGGAACGTGATGGACAATGCCACTAATGAGGTGGCCCTTCCTCAATTAGTATTTGCACTCATGTGTTGCTGGCCCCCTAACACCCCTGTCGGTATTCCACGCATCTTCTATCACCGTATCCCACTATCAATTATCCTCCTGCAAATGCGCACGTGCACTGTGTACACAGGAGAATGCTATCATTCCCCAGGATACGACAAACACCGACAAACACCGTGTCATTCCCACACCATGTTCTGCCTCTACTCACTGACTTGACCCAACCGCCCCAACCTCTGACTCCCCATAAAGAGAATAGGTGAGGAGGGCCCAAGCTTGACAGAGTGGGAATTCCTGATGTGTTTATTTGTTCAGGTGGAGTTGGCAAAAATCAATCTGTGATGCCCCCCCCAAAGTAATCATAACACAAATTCCCAAGAGGAAACATAACATCGTAATTTAGGGCCAATTGACAGGGAGGAACTAAATTGTTTTCACTCTGGAATTCAACTAGGGAAAATAAATATTCCAATCTTCCTTTCCTTAAATCCTTTCTGCTGAAACAGCCAATCAGAAAGAGGCATGGGAAGTTTTTTGAGAAAACCTTCTTCAATATTTCGAATAAGAACAAGACAAAATCTGTGAGTGGAAGTTAACTTTTTTAACTCAGTAAAATGCTTATGAAATTAACATTTAACAGCCTGAACTCTCTGAATTTTAAAGTTTTCCCTGCAATAATTAACTTGAAGGATATGTAAATGTGGCAATACATTAGAATTTGAGGTAGTACTTAAAAAAAACCCACTGTGGTAAATGCTAGTTATTTGTCTTGCTTGAACCCATGGTTAAGAAACACTTATTGAAAAAAAATGACATGTAGAAGAACAGCCAACAAAGAGTCCTATAATATACCCAGTATCGCTTTGATATTTGAGTTGTGACGAGGAGTTAAGCAGCTGCGTCATGTATTGGTTTTCATTAATGCATCTGTCTGGTTTCCAGGGGGCTGTATTCGACCCAGGACAAAGCAGCAGCCTGATACAACAAGCTCGGAACGAAAAGGCCATTACCTGCAACACTGGCTGCCTCAGGGGAGTTGGTACAAGGAGAAAAACTAAAACCCGGACTTGGGGGGAATGAACAACATTTCTAGCTTTGCTTTCTGATGCTAAGAAACTGTGATATGGTGTTGAGCGATTGCCAGGCAGTTTGAAAAGGCCGGGTTTTCAGAAAGAGGCCGGATTGGGGAAACTGAATCCTGAATGAAAAAGCCGCTGGCAGACTAGAACCTATCGGAGCTGACGGGTAAACACATCAGCATCTGAGCAACGGTTTAGACACTCATAGAGAAAGACCGCTTCAGGAGAGTCTCAAGAAAAACAGAAGGGGGGTGGAACAACAACGGTATAATTCTGGAGGACACAAGGACACACATGGAGAATGCATGTATTGGTAATTTCCCCCCTGCTTGAGGTTGGGGTGGGTAAGAGAAGGATTTGATCGGCCCCCTCCCACCCAGAAGCATGGAAGTAAAACTAACTGCATGTAAACTACAGGGAAAGTGCTTTGCCCAATCTCAAATTTCAATTAAAAAAACAAAACAGAAGCACTCCGAAGAGAAGACAAAGAGTGGACATATACACACACCCGTGAAGGTTTCAATAACCAACAGAACCACTCAGAGTCAAGTGGTATCCAACATTTGGAGACAGCGTGACACGTATACTGGTGCTGGGACATTCATGTGTATCATTCCTTCCACTAGGAAAAACACATTTACTCCATTGCTGTGAAGAGAAGTCTTGCAGCTGCTACCACATGATATTGACATGGAGTTTGATGGGCAAGGCCACCATCTCTGATTTAAGGATGTGCTATGCAATGCCATGCACAGCAGCGATATGGGGATGTTCAGTGAAATGCATTTTAAACATCACATTTAAAAAGGCCCCAAAGAAAGAGAACGTATTCTTCAAGCACAGCTGGTTACGATACTGATATCTTCTTCGGTCCAGAAAGACAGACTCATTATTACGAACAGGAAACGTTTTTCTCCCTCCTGTTTCAACGGAACTCTACCAACTCAAGAGCAATGGATTCCACATGTTGGTAGCTACACCGACACTTACTGAGATGCGTGGGCCCATTCCATCTAATGAGTCAAGAGTGGTGATAGTTGGATCTCGCCCGTCCCTGAACTCTACTGTCCCAATAACATCCCTTCACACTGTGCTGGCATTATTAACACGTTCCTGCCAGCCAGTCAACAATGCCTGTGGTTGGGGTCACACCCCTTTGGGGTCCAATCAACAGCAGTCAACTGTCTCTTCAAAACTCGAGAATTAAAGAAAAAAAATCCTTACTTCTGGGACTTCCAAAATTGTCTTTGAAGGCCAGGCGAGCAATTAACATAATAATATACCTTTTTGTATGACTGATAAAGAATGGGCATGCTTCAATTGTGCTCTGTTGTCACACAATCGATTTTTAGCAAATCCAGGATGCAATTACACTGTACCTCTCTTTTTTTTACAAGGTATGGAGAAACTCACAAAGAAGCTTGGTACTGGCTTGACACATGACCTTGGAATCAATTGTTCAGTATACCATGTAACAGGGCATAATTAATCATGAAGAAAATTCTTCCCTAATTTGAGCATGGAGGAAGAAAACAGCTCCATGATTTGTGTTGCAGAACAACTTGTACAGATTGTCTACGGTTTACCTAATCGGTCTGCTGACTGGCTAAAAGAACATACCGGTATTAGTCATTACGCCAACTGTTTGCACTGTCATGACTGTTCGGTGTGTGGGAAAAAATGCCTGATTACCCTTCTACCGGGTACAAGAGCACAATGATTCCACTTTGGAGTAAAATATAAGTGTTTGCTATTAGTTTAAGGGAGTTCAAATTTTGGGTAGACTGCCCGTGGGTACTTTTAAAGA